AACAAATGAAATAGAACGAATGTAAACACTTTCAAATGGCTCATTCAAAATGAGCCATTTTCGGCCAATTTAAACGCCGTATAAGATCCATTGAATCTCATTCTGTATAAATAAGTTCCAACAAAGTTAGAATAAGTTCCAAATACGTTCCAAATGCAAATTAATGCATTGAACACACCCTAAATTAAAGTTTTACATTGCATTTTGACAGTCTGATATGGCGTTTACATTGGCCGAAAATGGCTCATTTTGGTCAAAAATCGAAAATGAGTAGCGAATGACTCATTCTTGCATATAAAATTTCAAGCGCGAAAATGAGCAATTTTCTCACATTCTGTATGAAAGACGTTCGAATGCATTCCACATATGTTCCAAATGCAAAGGAATTCATTAAACATACCCTAAATAAAAGCTTTTCATGGTATTTTGACAGTTTGAGAAAGCTGTTTTTGACATATTTACAAAAAAAGGTAAACAAATGTTTGGTGGTTGCATTTTCTTGAAAGCGATGCACCTCTTTTTAGAACTTCTACTTCCCAAAAGGTAATTAATCGAAGTTTAAAAATATGTTTTAAAAATATGTTTTAAGTTTATATTGTAAGGTTTGAAAGCATATTTAACCTTCATGCAATATTTTTTTGGCACAGGTCAAAAATCAAATCAACAAGCAAGTTGAAAAATCAGCTGTTTGAAATGAGAACAAACGAATTACAACGAATGTAAACACTTTCAAATGGCTCATTCAAAATGATACTATGTATTTGTCATGTTGAATAGAACAACCTAAACAAATAAAAATATTATAATATTTATATAGTAAACAAGTATTCCACAACTGTAAAAAAAATTTTGTATACAATGAAAAACTCATTTCTTACTGCAGTTTACACTTTCTTGTAAAATGATATTCCCCAAGTGCTAGTGAGTAGTTTTTCGTGCTGAATGTAAAATTATGACGTACTGAATACATTTTTGCCAGTTGTCAGTGAAAAACTTTGTATTTACATTGAGCGAACTCAGTTATTGAAAATAAAAAAGTAAACAAAATGGAAGACATTATATTAATTATAATTCAGTTTGTACAGTTGCGGAATAAACCCCCAGTTATTTGACATAAATAAAATAAGGCCGTGTGCGAGTTCGAGTAAATTGAGGTAAAGTAAATTAAAATTTCCTGGGAGTTTTTTGCACTGTACTATGTAGATATTTATTTATTTATTTAATGCACTTATTTATTATTTTTGGTAAAAAATTTCCACATTGGTAACACCTAATTTAATCTTATTTTTATCTATTTTATCCTATTCGAAATTCTGGTAAATACCAGCTATCCCTGCCATACCGACATAATTTATTATTTCCTTTAGGTCGTGTGCGAGTTAGGCTAAGTTGATGCTAAACCAAATGGGAGATTTTTTGGGATTTTTTGCACTGCACACATTTAGCCATTTATCAACACGTATCGACACATCACTACATTATCGGCTCATCTTAGAATTTCCCTCATTTAGAACGCAACTTAGCCTAACTCGCACACGTCCTTAATTTACCATCAATTTACTCGAACTCGCACATGCCTAAATTTTTATAACGAATAATTTATATAATAAAATTTATTAAATAATTATTTTGTTTCTCAACACTACTGAACACACAGCATTAGTATAAAGAATACAAAAATATTCCGTTCGCTTGAATATTACCAACTGCTTTACCAGCCATTTTGATTTGCGCATAGATTGGCGTTGCGCTTGCTTTTACTCAACACGCAACACTATTGGTATAGCAACTGCTACACTTTTCGAGCGAACGGAAATAAATTTTCATTGCTTATTAGTCGCATTCATACAAATTGTGCAGATTTTAGAAAAAGTTTGGAAATTTATTTAATTGTTAGTGTTATACATATATATATAAAATTAATATAATAATTGGAAGTAAATGTTAAATTATAACAAAAATAAATAAGTAGAAGTGTTTTTGTGTACGTGTAACAGTGAGTTAAGAGTTCAGCTTAGTTTGGTGCAAAACTGAAGTGAATATATTTTTAATAATTAAAAGGTAACAATAAAATTAATTTAATATTTTTTACAAGTGTGCTATATTTGAAATATTTTGTATTTAATTAACTTAAACTGACATATAATATATAATGTTAACGTGTAATGTATCTGCTAAAAATAATCAATAGTGATCCCCGCTATGTTTTGGCGCCGAAACATACGCTGAATATATTAAAATTTTGCGTTTGGTAACACAAGTGAATTAGACTTTCTTAATCTTTAAATAAATATAGATTTAGGTATGAAATTAGGTTAGATTTCTGATTTCGAAGCATATTAACATATTTCGTTGATATGTAAAATATTTTTTATGTAAGAAGTGTTAACATTAGCAACTAATTAATATGTATTTTCATTAGTAAACGCAGGCATAGAAAAAGTAAACAATTTGTTTTTGCAAACGAAAGAATAAAAGCTCTTAACACCCGCAAAAATAATAAGCGCGAAATGTAATTTAATACTTTAATTAAAATCACTCATTTTTCAGCAATAAACACGCATAGAAACAGCTTTGAAGACTGAGTTCTTTAAAATTGTTTGTCTTACACTGTTCTGTTTAAAACTAATAAAAATAAACAACTTTTTTGTGATTCACCACACTTCTTTTTTTTTATACTAGCAATAATAGTTAAACCAAACGTTTGAGATGTGGGAGATGATAATTCAAAATTTTTACAATAAAAACAATTTTAGATTTTAAAATGTTTTCTAATAATTAATAACAATATGTAAAGTTATTATGCATTAAAATTTAATAAATTATTTTTAGTGTCGTGTTTACAAAATGGTTGGCAGAGAAATAACACCGACTGAGATCGGAAAACATTCCAAATTAATAAAAGGTATAAATAACATTTTAATAAAATATATGAAAAAAACATAATTAACATTAAAACATTTAATTTAATGTTTAGCCGCACAAGAGGAAATGTCCACAATGGATGTGTTGGTATGTGGGCGTTGTTTAAATGTTTTTCATTTTGCGGATGAATTTAAAGCGCACAAACAAAAATCCTGCTCCAAAGATACAAATAATGTGCGAGATACCAATGACACAAAACCCAAGATATGGGCTTTTCTTTTATGGAAATCTACGCAGCTAAATAAAGAAACCTATTCGAATCCACCAAACTCATGGTCACTCTATCAGACATGGGTGAAAATGGAAGAAAATATTCGGGAAACTTGGATTGTGGCTGGAAAAACTATACAATCATTCTCTAAAGTTGGTCAAGGCAGTTTGCACGAAATGCCTGTTAAAATAACTAAGACTGTAGTTAATAACACGGACAGTTCTCCCGGAAGAAGTATGTATCAAAGCAAAATTTTTATTGTAATTATTGTATATGGGATAGATAATTTTGTTTTATAGTACTGGCATTTAGCCTCAATATATAATAACAACAATATAACTGAAACGTGGTTTTTGGCTTTAAAATCAATTTAATTATGTCATTTTAAAAACTTTATTTAAGTTTGTCTTATAACAAAAACTACACTATTTCTTAAATTATTAAAATTATTCTATTAATTTAAATTGAAAATTGTTGATCAACATTTGCTTGAATTTATGTGAAAAAAATAAACATATAAAACTCCTATACTTGTATTAAATTCTGATAGGATTTTGTAATTATACTTACTTATGAACATTATAATTAAACGTTATAATTTGTCAATATATATATTATCAAATAAAAATCTTAGTCGAAAATTTTAATATATATTTGTGTGCCGAAATCATCAAGTTCAGATTTCAAGATTGGTCAAGAACGTATCAAAATTGGAAAGAAGGTTTTTAAATATATATATTTGTAAAGAATACTGAATCTATCTTTGTAAGTAACTAAATAATAGTAATTCCAGATAGAAATTCTGTGTTATAAAAATTATATGCATATTACAACTTTATAATATTTGTTTTTCAGAACCTTTAAATCAAACAAAACCACAAGTGACAAATATTAAGCCGCCAGCGAAGGTCGGAGCTAATGCAAAAGGTCATGATTCAGATAGCGAAAGTTCACCCGCAAAATCCAGCAGTCTTGTACCGACGCCTAGAATCATTAAGAAACCGGCTATTGGAAATGCATCACAGGTGCAAAGTAAACTCATTTCTGGAGCAAACCAAACAAAAACTCTAAGGTGAATTTTTTTTCTATAAGTTTTTAATTGAATACTGCATAAAACTTAATACTTAAAACCGATACTGACTTAAATTTTCAAAGTTAAAATTAATATTTGGATTGCACGTATATGTCGGTTAATATAAAAAATGCTCCCACAGAATTTACGTCACTTAATTATAAAACACACTCTATAGAAATTACGTTTACATATATAAATATTCATATATATTTTCATACATACAGTAAGACCCCGATTTGCGCCATTAATTTGGACCGATTTGGGACGCAAATCGCATCATATTTCTCCCTTTAATTAATTTTCAAGAATATTTTAGTTTTTGACCACTTGTTGATGGAGAATTACCTTTTAACTTATTGAATATCGACGGAGCCTTATTCTGAATTAACATTGGCTCAATGGCATTTTTCTTTGGTTCTGATTTTCTATGCAAATGGATAGAAAATACTCAATTTTTACAATAAATGGACTTTTACTTTTTGTAACTTGTTTGACTTCCTTTTCCATAGTCCTTTATATTATCCGCATCAGGATTACAAATTATTCTTACAGTAGTTGGAGCTAAACCCAATGTCAGAAACCCAATGCTTTTCTCCAAGTTTAAAACGTTTTAAAATGTCTAACTTTTGTTCCAAGGAAATTTGTTTTAGCTTTTGACTCATTTTTATACTTTATAAAGCAGAAATTTACGTTTCCATTTCACCACACAAATGTAAACTAACACCTTTTAAGTAAAAACTTAATACATACAAATTCTCTTTTAAAAAATATTACCTACAACAAATAAAATGATAATCCTCTATGTACGCATATATATATAGACATATAAAATAACTATTAAAAAAAATCTCTGATTTCAGTCGTAGTGCCAAACGGACTGTTCCAAATCCTGATGATATAGTTGAAGAAAACGTTGAGAAAATAGTAGCGAAACGTTTTAATCCACGTCGTAAATGTCATGAATATTTAGTAAAATGGGAAGGACGTACCCACGAACATAATACTTGGGAACCATTAACACATTTGGAAAATGTACCACATCTTTTGGATACTTTTGAAAAGCAATTGGCACGCCAAAAAGAGAGTCGTGCTGCAATGCAAGCTAAACAACAGGCTTCGCTAAAAGAATCAGTAGGCGCTGCAAAAAACTTAAATTCAAATCAAAATTCTATTGAGAAGAGTAATGTATCAACTCAGGGAGTTGATTCGAGTGGACGTCCAATTCGTTCATCGAAACAGAGAGCAATGGATCAAGTTAAACAGTGGGTACAAAGCACAGAAAGTGCTTCTGATATAAATGATACAAATTCCACTACACAAGATCTTGCAAGTATAAAGCGTAAATTGGATGATTCAGATTTTAATGATTCGAACGCTAGTGACTTGCCAGCAACAACTGCAACAATGGAGGATCTTGAAGAAGATTTAATCCCATCACATACAGTTAAACGCATGAGAAACGGAAATTCCGTATCGGTAGAAGTGAAAACAAAAACAGAAAAATCTCTTGAGGTAAATTATAATACAAAATTTCCAACTAAAAAAAAATATTTAAAATATATTATAATTTTATTAATTTAAACGTGTTTTCTTTGTAGTCTAAAGTCATAAAAGTAAATGGTTCATCTGTACCGAGCACCGAAAACAGTGAATCTACTGCATTTTCAGCAGAGGTTATCATTACACAAGATCTCAGTTCTTCCGGAGTTGTCAAGAAACCAGGTTTCAATGGACCTTCGGTAGTTATTCATACATATTATTTCCATTTACATTTTATAATTATATTTAAATTAATTTAGAATACAGGCAAAACAGAGGCACAAATACGTATACTCTCCAAAGGTGAATCAACGCAAGCTAATTCAGGCATAATACGCATCAATAATAGCCAAGATAGTGCAACTCCAGTACGACAAATTCGTGTTGGAACCAGTGCAGCTGGACAAACAGTGACAACCTCTACTATAGGAAGTACACAAATCACAACAATAAATCAGCGCCCAATTGCACAACGTACACCAGGTGCCACAATTATTCAACGGAAAGGTGTGACATCAGCCGCTATACAACCCACACCACGTACAGGAGCACACCAACAGATTTCACCATCATCAGGACGTATGATTATACCTCGACAAAGCACAGTTGCACAACGTCCAAATACAGTTACATCTAAAAATGTTACGCCTGAACAGAAAATTTTACAGCTTTCCAAGTCTGGCGATTTAAAGGTCACGAAAAAGGTAATGACGCGTGAGGATGCAGTGGCACAGCGTATGACACCACAACAGCGTCAACAACACTTACGCCAACAACAGCAACAATCTGGTGTGCAAATACAAAAGGTACAACAGATTAGTGCTCCTAATTCTCGCGGTGCCGCTACACGTAAACAAAGTGAATCTTATGCTCAAGAGGAACATCAAGCCCAGCTGTGTCCAATAACAGGTAATGGCGTTTACCTTAAGATAAATCTCAATTTTCATTTTCTTCTGCACTTTTATTTAATTTTCAATAGAATTTTATAGTTTTATCATAATCTGAAAGGCTTTTCATGGATTTATGGTATTCTTTAACTCAATCCTCTAGAATAAGATTATTCTTCAAGTATCAAATTTGATTGAAACTATCAACAAAATTCATTGATAGTTTTGGAATGCGTACTTTGTAATTGATAAAATTAATTTTTTTGATTTTTTGTCAAATAGTTCATTGAGATCATCTCATCATTTAGACTGTTATATATCATAAGCATTGAGAAAAACATATCACGATTTCTAAAAATGTTATAGTTAAATATGCGAATTGAATCCCTTATTTTCTGTAAAAAGAAATTCCAATTTATTCCAAGCCTTATAGTGATCAACAGTTGTACCATCATTCGTGTGCAAATATTCAGAATTTTAAATGAGTCTTCTACTTCGTTTTCAGAAGCCGTTTTCAGATGAACAATTTCATCCACTAAACCCTAATCATCACTTTCGGTTGCGATTAGAATCGGATCCACTAATTCAGAATCATAATGCTCTATAATATCGTCATCTGTAGGGAAGCTTGATGTACAAATTTCATTGTCAAGCTCAATATAATCGTTAAAAGTAGCATTGAAAGTTATTTTATTTACTTTAAACCACGCTTCATATCAGCAACTGGCATTTGCACAAAGAAGCAACAAAAGCAAAAGAAAAAATTAAACATTTGTTTTGAAAAAAGGGTCTTCCCCTAACAACAAAATGAATTTATACTTTAAACAGAAATTCGTCTCGTACAATGCACTTTTCCATATCCATATTGGCATGTGACAATATTTTTATTGGAGTTATAGAAAAAATCGAGTATAGAAGTTCGAATTTAGAATTTAATTTAATAAAGGTATTTCCTAAACTGGGTTTGGTTATTTTGGTGACCCAAAAAAAAAAAACTGGTATCTTTTTTTCTCACATGAGTCAATCGATTATTATTAAAATAACCTATATATATGTAATATTATATCACTATTTTCTTTTACTTATTTTAGGTAACCTTATTGGTCAGGAAGATCAGACAATAGTATCACAAACCCAAAAACTTCAAAGTGGAGTTATGCAGACCCAATTAGTGTCAGAACAACAACAATTGCAGGAACAGATGGGTGATATAGAATCAGCGCTACTAACAGGAGAACAGCAAATGCTTACCAATGAAGATGGTTCACCACTCCTAGTGACTGGCGAAGACGGCACAGTTTATCAAGTTGCCGGTAAAAATGCCGAGGGTCAAACAATCTTAGTAACACAAGGACCAGATGGCGAACAGCAATTTGCTTATGTAGCAGCGTCTGACGGTGATGAAAATCAAGTGTTGAATATGGAAAATGCAGTTGGCGAAACAGTTGTCCAGTTACCGAGTGAGCATGATGTTGAAGCGCTTGCTGCTGCAGGCGGAGAGAATCAATATATAGTAAAAACTTTGCAAGAAGATGGTAGCACACAAGTAGTAACAATGACTGCCGCTGAACTAGCACAACATTCGGCTTTAACTGGTAACGCAACTGAACAACTAACTGTGCAAACGAACGATGAAGCTCAAGATGGAAATATTCCCGCTGAAGTTGTGCAAGCAGAACTACCATCACCAGGTAATTATTTTTTATTAAAGTACATTATGTAAAACAAATAAACAATTCGCTTTTGAATAATTTCAGGTGGTACGAGGCGTGTCGTACTCTTACTCCAAGACGGTACATTTATGATGACTGAAATGCATGACGATGAGTTTAAGGCTCTCAATCTAAATGCGTAAATTGATTTTAACAGAAATGGAGTTCATTTATTAGAATATATAACTAATAGAAAATATATTTAAGTATTTTAAGAAAAATTTTAATTTCATATAATAATTATTTTCATTGTATCCAATGGTTTGTATATTTATATCGATTCCATTTAGTGTTAAGATAAATCATTTTATCCATAATTTGGATATACTTTTATTTATAAGATTTCATTTAGTTCCATTATTATATATTATCAAAATTAATTTTTTGATATAAATAAAAACTTAACAAATTATTTTTATGCCTTAATATTATTACTTAATTTAATTATTCTTTACGAACTTTGCTATGAAAAAACCTATTGTATCTGCATTTTTGCTAGAAATGTTGGTATGTCCAAATCGCTGTACACACGAGCTGCAATTTCAAATTAATTAAATTAGTTAATTTAAATAAAATTATTTCATTTAATAAAAATATTGGTTATAATTATATAATGTATAGAAAAAATCAATTTACCATTGTTGTTCAGTTAAACCCAAGTTAGGTAAACCAAAACCGCCAAAACGAGGAACAGCATCAACCAATCTTAACTGTGGAAATTTCTTCAAAGCCCAAGCAACTATACACTCATTTTCGTCCTCGGTTATTGTACAGGTGCTGTATACCAATACACCATTCGGCTTTAGTAACGGCACGGCATTCTCAAAAAGTTTACGTTGTATATTTGGATAAGATGCTAACATTCTTGTGGTTAATTTGCTTGCTAAAGTTGGACGATTACCAAGCGAACTGCACGGGCCATCAAGCAAGATACGATCAAAAGTGTTCGCCGCGAATGGTGGTATTAAAAGCTCTCTCGATGTAGTTTCTTGCTTATCATTAAATGATTTTGTGGCATCAAAAGCAAAAGTACGCACACTTTGTATATTGTTTGTCTTAATTTTATCATCAATGTGCCTAATCTTATCAATAGTTTTATCAAGAGCCACAACTATTCCTGTATCTTTCATCATTTCAACGATATGAGTTGTTTTATTACCTGGTGCTGCACACATATCTAATATAACTTCATCTGGTTGTGGATCCAAAACTCGTACACATACAATTGAAGGTAGATTTTGCAATAAAGCTAATTCAGAGCTTAAATTTCCTATTGTGGGCACTCCTGAAATCGTAGATTTCATCTCAATCGCTATACCTTCCATCGCTGCATTTTGATTGTACAATTGATAGCGTTGCATGCGTGTCACGCCAATTCCAATAAATAATTTGTGTGGCATATTTAAACGAATACTTGTGCCTCTTTTACATACGCCTGTTAAATCAGCGTAAACACTAACTTCTTCCTGCACTTTGGTGCCGGACTCCATTGCAAGTACACCAGGCGCATATATGTGTGCGCCACGCAAGACAGCTGAGGCACATGATGTATCAACTATAACTTCTTTTCTTTCAATATCTTCATGTATGGGTTCTTCTACTTTACTAATGCAAACCATTTCTGGTAGTTCTGGAATTTGGAATACTTTTGGCTCTTCAGTATATTTCTCTTTTAATTTTTGCTGTACTATATTTGTAAATGATTCAACAGTGGTTTTTAATAAGTTTACCCGATATGTTGTAACAGTTGGAGCTTCACAAAGCCATGGTAATAATTCATTTAACAAACAGCTCTAAAATAATTTTAAATAAAAAACGTGAGTAAAAAATATTTTATAAATAATACTTTGAAGGGGCTTAGTTTTTATAGTATTTCTTATATGTAGGGAAAATAGCCAAACAGGACCCTATTGTTATTATCACAGAAGGCAAAAGTAATAAGGTGTAAACACTCATATATTGAAGATTTAAATAGCTCTTTAAAGAAATATCATAGTTGCTCCTCTTGCTATTCCAAAATACGACTGACTATATTATCTTAAGTTTTCTTATAGTGGTTATTCCTAACATTCCAATACGTGTCTAATTGATTAATGCAATAAAGACGTACCTATAAAATTACTTAAATGTAAAATAGTATTTATAAATATTATGTTGATAGTGTAAGGATTATTTAAGGAATTGGTTTTAGGAAAATCTTCCTCCATTCACACTGGTAACCCAAATTACTTGAGTTTGCACTCTACAGTACAATTTTCCGCACAATCGTCAACTCGTCATCAAAGAAAGTCGTCATTATTTTTGAGTAACTATTATTGAAACACTTATATATGATTGTTTATAATTTATTGTGTAATATGTTTGGTCCTATTATCAATATACAATATATATCTTATATCAATATGCAATAGGTTACTAATCCCCATTGACAAGTAATGCACCAAACCACAAAAAGAACAGGCATATGGTGGATACTACTCTATCAACCATTGGTCCAACTCATATCGGAAAAGATTCGAAGATATATGCATAGCATCTAAATGATAAAGAGTTGATATTTAGCAATATATTAATTTATTTCCCACCGGCAATTCTAATTTCGTATATATATTTTGAAAAAAAGACCGTATTAATCTACTGAACTTATTTTCGTGTCAATTCTTTTACACAGTTTTCAGAAATATTTTTGATATTATATTTGTTATTATTTATTACATTTTAAACTTACATTTTCTTTCAATATTTGTGATTCAACAAGTGTATTTAGAAAAGGCGATTCTGGATACATTTCAAATTTAAGTAATTGTTGTCAAATCGCATATATAAAAAAAGTTAGTGACAAAGATAATTATATTTCGATTATGTATAATGCATATTTCGCACATGTATTTTAATCTCAACAAAGTTTGTTGACATGCAATAAAACATTATAAATTATAAACTTTCCTTGAGTAAACTTAGTAACGTAGGGTTACCAACACGCACTAAACTTATATTTTGATTGTTAACTGATGCCATTTTCAATTGAAGCTTTTTATAGATATAATTTATATTTATCATATTAATAACATTTTTATTTTTTGATATATCAGAAATGTACTGATTTTTATATACTGGTTCTTATACTTCGATTTATGTACTTGACGTACGAAGCGACGTGTACCGTTCTAGCTGACATCGATATAATAGAATAAATAAATTTATTGTAATTAACAAAAATAGTTGTTCCGGTTAAATATTTTGATTAATTGCAATTAACAAAAAAGCCAAATTTTGTTTTGTTTACATTCTGTAACATAAGCTGTTACAAAAATTCAATGTTCCAAATAACCAAAAGCAGAAATAATTGATTTAATAAATACTTTTAAAATTTGCAATGAATTAGTCAGAAATTGATTGAAATTAAAAGGGAATTAATTCATAAGATGCAAAACATAAACAATAACGCCAAATATCAAAAACGAGTCTTGAGGTGTGTTTAATACTTTCATTGGGTGTGTTCAGTGTTTGATTTTTACAAAATTCAAATAGAACCCTGCGTTTTATTAGCAACAAATTTAGTATTGCAAAATTTAACTCAAGAAAATATTTTATTTTTATTTATTTTATATATAAGTGCAATTAGTATTTGTTTTTTTCAAAAGTTACAAACATAGCTGCAATGTTAGAAAATTTTATAGCAGATAAAATTGAGAGATGTAGTAAATTATGTCGGTATGGCAGGGAATGTTGGTATTTAACAGAATTACGAATAGGGTACATTAGGTGTTACCATTGCGAAAATTTCATACGATGTTTAATAAATAAATAAAAAATTTGAAAACTATTACTATTACTTTTATTACTTACGAAGAATTACATGCAAGAAATAATTTCAAGTTCCGAAAAGAGGTGCATCGTATTCAAGGAACAGCAATCACCAAACATTTGTTTATTTTTTTTTTTAAATGTGTCAAAAACAGCTTTCTCAAACTGCCAAAATGCATTCATACAGAATGTGATCCAACGGATCTCATTCGCGCTTGAAATTTTGTATGCAAGAATGAGCCATTTGCTTCTCATTTTCGATTTTTGACCAAAATGAGCCATTTGAGGCCAGCGTAAATACCATATTACCCTCACTACAATAGTCCGTGTAAAAATTCCGCATATCCATTCGAATTGTTTTTCTTTTCTAACAAATACAATATATAAGCATCTGTTTTTTTATTTATTTTGACTAATGAAAGAAAATTAAAAATATCGAATGTAACTCTTAAAAATAAATTTCCCAAAGAGGCAATTACTAAAATTTAAAATATGTGTCATATGTTTTATTTGCAAAATACAAATAAACAACAGCTGAGCTGTAAATAAAGGCACAGATTAAGTAAGTATTTAATAAAATCTTTGTTTTTAAAACTCAACTTTCTAAATTTATTTTAGAAAATATATTTTATTGATTTGTAATAGTAATCAATGATGCAGTAATAGATTCGCACTATCTCATTTAGGCGGAGGATGATTTACCATACAGAAATCTTTCATATAAATGAGCTCATTATCAATTAATCAGCTCACTTAAGACTAACAATGTTGACTGCAACATTTAAAAATAAATAAAAATAAAATAATTTCCTAAAAGGGAAAATACTAAAATATGTTTTATATGTTATATGTAAACAAACAACTGAGCAGTAAATAAAGGCTCTTAGGCATTCGCTCTTTAATATAAATGAGCATATACTTAAATAAGACAGCGTAAATGTACTATAAATCTTTAATAAAAAATAAAAATTCCCTGCACACTTTGTATATGAATATAATTATATAGTTTGAGATTTTATTATAAGTTTAAATAAACTTCGATTTGACTTGATAATAGGTAACAAAAAATTTATTTTGCATGAATTATAAAATAAATGCTTTAAATTTCTTATAAAATCATTTAATAATTAACTTTTGAGTTTTTTTCGAAATAAAATATGTACTAATATACAATTTCGATCTAAAAGCGATTTTTATGATTACGTATAAATTTTTGTTACTGGCAACTTCTAAACAGTTTACTCCTTCACACATTTACTGAGAACACGACGTGGCATAATAATTTTATGAATGTTATCTATCTCTATTATATGATTCTGCTATGACTCTTTTAACACATTGCTAATGCATATGATTGTCTATGCCGTAGATTCTTTTTTCATTCTTGCAACTATAAATTACATATAATTTGTCGGCGAGTGTATCGGTCAAGTTGTTAATTGCTCTGTGATTTTTCAACATTTCCAAACAGAAATAGTTAATATTTCTGTTAAATTCATTTCAATTTTTATTTATTGGCTTGGTGCGTATAAAATTTTTATTAAAATAAAAGAATTATTTAATATTTATTACAATATGTTTAAACTTCGGAACCTCATTATTTGCTTTATGGCTTATGTTGGATATACGCGTTGATTGCTTCGACAAAGTATTTGTACTTTGAAACTATAGGCATCTCTCTCTGCTTTTTTTTTTGTTAATGAAAAGTGTTGCAACTTCTTTATTATACATATAATTTTTGAAAAAAAATTGGTATATAATTGTAAAAGTATTAAATTAAATTATTTTTTATATATAACATAGCAATAGATTTAATTAATTAATTATTTTTAAAAGTGAGTTTTACGGGCCTGTTTGTGCAATATTGTTTTTTTTTTGGATTGGCAACATTTAATTTTTACATTCTCTTTTGTCATCAGTCTCAGCATACCATACAAGCATTAAAAATTTTTTCTTTGATTAGTTACGGGAGTAAAGAAACGTCTACTTCTGACTGATATTATAAAATTTATTTTAAAAGTGTGATTCCTTGTGGTTTTCAGAATAAAATTAATAACCGGTAATAATATATGTGTGTTAAACTAAGAAAAAGTGTTGAAAATCTGTCAAGTTATTGCTTTATATTGCAATATTGCAGAAAAGTTTTTTAATCTTTTATGTGAGATATGTATATATTTAATTTTTTATTCAACGTAAAACAACTTAATTAATATATTGTTTTAAAGTAATTCAATTATTCGAATATTGAAAGCTGTGTTTTACGGCAGCCATTTCAGTTTTATAGTTTTTTCAATTTCTTTGATTTTTCCATTTTACTATTTGTGTATTTTCCTATACTCTGCACTTGTTTTATCGGTTTTTATCGTTTACTTTCCACCAACGTATCAATCCGCCGTCATCATTTTTGTGGTGAAAAGTGCTTGCTTGTACCGTCTTATATGACTTTCGTTTTTCTCCCCACATCAATGAAGTTTCTTTTTCATGTTCGTGTACTTTTACAAAAAGTGACGTAGGGTGGTGCAACTTGGCAAAGAGAGTTAGTTATTTATTAATATATTAGTTCAAATAAGTAAGATACATTAATAAATAAGTAAGGTATGAATATATTAATGTATTACATTTGTTAAAGTGATTAAAATTGTTTACGTATTCAATAAATTTAATTTGCAACGTTGGCGGCGTTGCTGAACCGATTGGTTTATTTCGTCGTTTTTAGTGCCTGCATTTTATATATGTTATATGCCGTTTAATTGCTATAAAAATAAAATAATTGCGTTTTAAATTTAGTAATTTTATTTATATAAATTTATTTCACAATTTCAAAAATTTAAATAAAATACTATTCAAATGTACGATAACCTGCTGCTGACTCACGCACAAATTGCTGAAGATGAAGTACAACTCACCATTGTTCATTAATCGGAACATTATTCATAACTATTTAAAATTGGTATTAGTAATATAAATGACGGCCACTGACGTGCCTCAGGAAAAAGGTTACGACACGACAGTTGAAATTGTTGAAATAACATATATGTATATTATAATAAAAAATAATATGAGTAGATAATATTTAGTTATAATTCGCTTTGTGAACCATTCAGTTTATGGAAGACTTCCAGTTCGGCTTTAAGATCCTGTCGCTCGTAAAGCCGGTGTTATTGACTGTTTGGGTTATTGTTAATTATAACAATTAATTAGCAAATATAGCTCTGCTCTGCCAGTATTTGCAGTATTAATTTAATTATATAAATAAGTTGGCGGTATACTATCCAAAACAATTTTAACGTGAAGTGGTACGGTCTTTCAAACGGTCTAAAGTTACCATAAAACGGACGTTGTTTGTTTTCGAAGGGCACTATATCTCAGTTATTATATGAGGTAAACTTGGCCTATTCTCAAAAGATTGTTTTCTATTGCGTGTTGTGGTAGACCTTGACATGTCTATTAGCTATTATTTGAAATAGTTTTCATATGAATAAATAACGACCAACTGCTTGATAAGATAATAAAGTGGCATTTAATATATAAACTAAAATAATAAATTTCAGTGTAAATATTGACATCTGTATACATAATTGTAAACATTTATTTAGAAACTACAAAACATGGTTTATGGATTAGGTTAAGGCCTTTATGCAAATATAAGTTGAATGGACTTTTAACAAAGGAACTATCTGGTAGTAAATCTATAGAACAAATTGTATTACAAAAGTAAAACTCTTAATTTAATAATTATGATTAAAAAAATATATTATTAAATACATCAGGGTTGGTTACTCTGTTTCATATTCACAATTAATTAAGATCTCTTTATTTTAATGCTATTAATAATGCAAAAAACTATAAACGTTACAACGATCGAAAGTTGGATTGCGTGTCTTTTACTTATTCTCTCTTTTTGCCACGATCTTTGCTTTAAGTCGACATGTTTATTCTGTTTAATATAGTTTTCTAAAACTAAATAATATACTAATTTATTTAAAACCTGTTTCGAACTAAAAGAAAAAATTGTATTATTTACGGAAGTATTTATAATTTCACATCTTAAAATTATAATATTTTTATTGTGTTGTGATTAATTTTAATAATGTATTTGAGCTACAAACTAAATCTGGTAACTACTGAAAGAAAGTCGAAATAAATCACATAAAAAAGAAAACTAGTATTGTTGAAGCCCTTAGTATTGTATGGGCTAGAATTTGGCTATTCCACAAAGATGGAAATAATGTACAGTAAAGTTAGTAAGTTAACTAAATACTATACTACCAGCAAAGTATAACAGAAGTATTTCCAGCAAAATAATAAAAATATTTATGCATACTCATGAAATCGGTTAAAACTAATTTCTACAGCTGAGTGTATATGTATATTAAATAAGTATGGGAGCTGAACACTGGTTCAGTGAACCCGCACACGTCTTACTTAATATCTATTAAGTACACTTCAACAATAGTAATAAATTAACACATAATTAAAATTGTACTATTCATATCCAATAATGGATGTTTTATCTATATATATATTAAATAAGCATATTTCCAATTGCTGAGATTCAATCTTAAGAAATACTTAAATCTTTTTATTATTAAAAAGGGTTTGCTCTAGTCTAAACAATGACTTACTTTTCGATTCCTTGTTTACTGTATAGGTGTTACTAGACCGACCGCCAGTACAGCCAAATGACTATTAGACGTAAACTTAGCAGCTTCTTAAACCAATAAGGTTGAATAATATACGTTAATTTATTAGTAAATAAATGGTTTAACCATTTATTTGTTAGGAATACTATAATGGATTATAATTAAAGACTATGATTACTTACTGTATTATATATAAATTTTATTGTCTCTTTCAATTTTACTTAGTTTCTGTGGCTTATGTTTGCTTTTTTGGTTACAGTAAATATAAACAAAAATTTTTCATTCTGTTTCCATCAATTGGGTTCAAAAATATATAATTTCATACAATTCTTTAATTTACGCAACCATATTTATAAGCTTAGAGTTGAGCAAATAATTAAATTAATCAATAGATCCAGTTAATTATAATTATAAGACAATCCTAAATTATAAGAAATGTGGAATCAAAGAAACTTTCTAGCTAATTTATTAAATAATACATCTTCTAAATCCCATATCCAATTCCAGAACCATTTATATTTACTAGTAATTTTGCAACTGCCTTAAGTGTTTGTTTACTGAAATTACAATATTTGTTTATAGACAAGTCTATATTATATTTTATAAATGTTATCATAGGTTCAAATTTCTAATGAGAAAGCAACATTAAATTCTCAATTAATTTTGGCTAAATATGAAACAAAGCGATCCACTCGTAAATACTCCAGCACGTGTTGTTATACGTATATGTCTTCTTTGCTTGTTCAAAAGCGACTTAGTGTCTAAAATACGTTTACTTAATAGTATCTGTGACCACTAGAATGAACCACTGTAATAGGAGATGTGTTGATTTATAAACGTTTATGTATAAAATTAAATAAAAATTATATATGTGAAGTTAATTTGCTCTTTGAGCTGCTTGAAAATTTTAAAGCCGCTTTAAGATTTTCAAAAATTTTAAGAGTTCGCTACAAATTCGTATGCGAGTACACTCGAATCTTATATCTACTACTCTCAAAAAATCGGTAACGTATAGTAATTTACATAAAATTTCGAAGTTGTGGATATAGTCCATAGAGTTCAGAGTTTTAAAACGTTGTTATCTAACTATTAAGACTTACAACCAGAGTAGTGTTAACACATATACGACCTTAATGAGCCGATAAACGCTTCCAAAAACTTCCACCGATATATATTCATGCTATAAGTTTAGATATGATTTCCTATTTGGAATAGAGCGACATCTAGCTAACACTTTTGTTTTAATTTGGGCCAGTGCATCCTATTGGAAAATGCAACTCATATCGAATAAAAGTAATGAATGAAGTCATTTTACCCGCGTTATTTTGGGTTCTAACCTTATGATACTCTCATTAAATATGCCAACTTCTATTAGTCAGAACAATCGAAGTAGTACCCCTTAACACCAAGTCAAACTTACTCACTACCATTTATATTGCAAAGAAAGGTATACTACATTTTAATCGAGAGAAATACTACGACATTTTATTTTTAATTATATATTATATGTATATTATTTATTATAGAATATTATATTATATATGTAAGAATAATTTTACAAAAAAATTCTGTGGGTAATCTCTTATAAACATTTTGTCTATATTGCGGAAACTCAATTTGAGATTAAATTTTACTTTTCCTCTTATAGGTTGCATCGTCGTGTTATCTGTACACCTTTTATCTACATATTTAAGTTTAACAAAAAATAAATATAAACAATTATTGTAGTATACCAACCTTTATTATCAACATTATAAAATGAAAGATAGATTATTTGATTATCTAATCCTATGACCTAAGGGAAAGGTCATCAGTCTTTGGTCGTTAAAGTCAATAATTATGAGGTGATAATAGAGTGGTGTATTTAAACTACAAAAAATTAAAGGAACATTTATTAAAAATATACAAATTATATTTTTTTGGTGAATCTTTGTTATATATCATTTATATATCATTTTAATATATCATTTTTATCATCCTATCATTCAGTTCATTCTATAGTACTTGCATCTAAAATGTAAGAACAATTTACATATTCTTTTACAATTTATATAAAATATAACTTTAATGATAATAGAAATGATTTTTTTAATTGAATTATTTATATATGAATATAATTATATATATAAATCAAAGTTTTTATAATTAAATATTTTTAATATATTTTTTCTTTTACAGATTCCCATAAGCATCCGAGTACAATCATTTGTGCAAAAACTCGGATTGATTGATAATAATTCCAATAAAGCTAAATATATTTAAATTCCTGATACTCGACTAATTTCCGTTTTTTAAAACTGAATATTTAATAACAACAACTACAAAAAATGGGGAACGTTTTCGCAAATCTGTTTAAGGGACTCTTCGGTAAAAAGGAAATGAGAATATTAATGGTCGGTTTAGATGCCGCTGGTAAAACCACAATTTTGTACAAACTCAAATTAGGTGAAATTGTTACAACGATACCTACCATTGGTAAGTTGATCTATTACAAGCATTAAAAAATATATATATATTAATGAATTAATTTTAATAATGTATTATTTATAAATGTTTATAGGTTTCAATGTCGAGACTGTAGAATACAAGAATATTAGCTTTACAGTGTGGGATGTGGGCGGTCAAGACAAAATTCGTCCATTATGGAGACATTACTTCCAAAATACACAAGTAATTATAATTTTCGATTAAAATATATAAAATTATAAAAGAATATTTAAGAGTATTAAAAAAATTTAATGATGATACCGACTTTAAATGAATTTACTTTGATTATACAAGTTTTTCATTGTTTCAAGACGGGGCTGATTTTAATAAACTATAAATTTTATATTATTTTGTATTTTATTGAATCTATTAACATAGTTAAAATTATAATAAAAATTATAATAATTTTACTTTCAAAACAGGGTCTAATATTTGTCGTTGATAGCAATGACAGAGAGCGTATCGGTGAAGCGAGGGAAGAATTGATGCGTATGTTAGCTGAAGATGAACTCAGAGATGCTGTTTTACTCATTTTTGCTAACAAACAGGTTAGTAAATTCTTTTTTTATTAAAATTTTATATAAAACAAATATTTATACACATATACATGCATGTAATTTTAGCGTTTCTTCATATTTTTTAATTATAAACTTGGTTAATCATAACTGTTTTTATTTTCAATATAAGAGATAGTGTTTTTTTATTTCTGTACATTATGCAAAATGCTTTTATCAAATAATATCAGTCATAGGTAGCATATCTACGTGTTCTCGTTGAGATAAATAATTTTGTTCAGATAAGAATATTCTACGTTGAAAAAAATATATAATGTAAATTTATTGTTGAAGATCTAAAGATAAATTTATGATATTCTTATTATTTACTTTTGGCGATAAAATATTTTTCTCATATATAGTGATGCTATAAACGTGCTGATAAAAAGTGTACATGTGCTTTACAGAATCTTTTTAATTTCGTTTAAAAATAACTTAGTACATTCGTAATTTGTCTCTTCGCCACGTTAGGGTTGTGCAAAATTTTTAAGTAAAAAAGGATGGTACTCATTACAATAAAAAAAAAAATGATTTTAAAATAAAAATAAAATCAATTTACGGTCTGAAACGATGAATAAATCCAATATGTAGACAATTCTGTTTAAATGTTATTGTATGTAGCGGAGATCTATTGAATAGCTATTATGAAAGGAACTACAAATTCGTATACATAGGTTAGCATATGGTTAGGTAAAGCAAGTCTAAAAGAGGAGGAGATTCTTTAGGAACTATAGGGTTCCAGAGACAGTTGGATTGGTGCCACTTGTTAATTTCGATGTCTCGATGTGAAGTTCACTATACCTAAAAGGAACTATACCATTGGGTATTTCTGTTAGAATCATACAACAAAGAGCCTATTTGTTGATTTTAATATCAATAATAATATGATTCTTTCTATATTAGAAGTAAAGTAAACATACTATCAGAGAACAATTCTAAGACTTCACACATCCTTACCCCAAAAACATTCATCCACATCTCAACCCATGTCTTCCTCCTGTAATCCTTGCTTGCAGATTTCGGCGGATTACAACAAGAACAACAAGTTTTAGTTGTCACTTTCCATTCAGTAGATACAATGTTAAAATAGAAATTCGCTCTTAAAATATTTTAGAAATTTGTCGAGTTCTTCTGGAGCTGTGAAAAGTAGAGTCTATCTGATGTTGGTATTAAAAACATTTTGTGTTTTATTTGTGCCTCAAAATGATTTTATAATTAACTTACAGTTAATGTTCAGTGTTAGTAGTGGCATCACAATGATTCTTGGGGTTTGACCTAGTTAGTATATTTTGTTGACTGCTAAAGTCACGTAACTCAGTTGTAACATTCAATTCAAATATCAGAAAAATATAAATAGGACTTGGCATTTACTATTTAATAAAAATATAATAATTAATTGATTATTTATCAACAGTTTAAGTGTCACGATATTGAAGAAAACTTAAACTACACAAAAACATTGTACGTTAACCAATAATCGTTAAATCTTATCAAGAAAAGTAAATCCAGATTATATGCACCACAAAATATATCAAGAAAAAAATGTATATATATACAATAATATATATGATATTGTATATATATATAAACACGTGTACACATGTAATTATATAGTTTGACTGAAATCAAACAACGTGACTAGTGTGATGATTCATCTATAAATTCTGTATTTCATTTGTTTATTTTATTTTATTTTTAATTATTTTTTTTATAATAAATAATTATTTATTTATAATAATTGTTTATTGTTATTATAACTATTGTTGTTTATTTTTATTATTGTTGTTTATTTTTTATATTATTTTCAATATTATTATTGTTGTCAATATTATTTTGTTAATTTAATTTTTTTTAATATTATCGTTTTACTATTTTTTTTGTTTGTAATTATTTATTTTTAATATTTTTTTATTTTTGTTTTTATTTAGTTTTAATATTTTTTTATTTTTGTTATTATTTAGTTTTAATATTTTTTTATTTTTGTTTTTATTTAGTTTTAATAGTTTTTTATTTTTGTTATTATTTAGTTTTGATATTATTATTTATTTTTGATATTATTATTTATTTTTATAATTATTTAATATATTTTTATAATTATTATTTTTATTATTATTCATTGTTAATTTTATAATTATTTGCTTTTATTAAAAGTAAAAAATTTAAAATACAGTTGTAAAATGTGTAGGCAAAACAGGGCTTGAATTAGGGCCTTAGATAATTTTAACAAAAATATATATAGTGTATAAAGATCTTTATATAGTTTCTGTATCGTGTGTGAGATAGGTGAATATATAATATACGAAAGGAAAATTTATTTCAAAACTTTGAACTAAAGAATTTAGAAAAATTGTAAAAAATATTGTTGGGCTAAAGTTTTCTTTAAAAGTATATAATTGAAAACTAAACATCTTCCAACGAATTTTTTGGTCAATTCCTTATCTTAGTTATGACCATCTCTATTTTTGTTGGGCCATTTAGACTTCTACTAAAGTAAAATCAAGGAACGTAAAACCATGATATAAAATCATTTTCACCAGCTATTTTAGGATTCATAGTAATTTGGGGTTAATACTAGAAGTCTTATATTAACTTGAGGTAGCATAGAATATTAAAAAAGAAAATACAACTTTCATTAACATTTTACTAGTTTTGATCGTCTATTAATCAAAGACTATACTAATCTTAATTGAATGAGTAATGGATTATTGTTTAGTTTTTATTCAGTTTATGCTGTTTAAATATATATATATATATATATATTGTATATAATATGTATCTGAAATTTTTCCTTCATTTTTAATGACTGACGCAACCCAAATGTTTTAATCATGCGGATTAACCCCAATTTCGGATTTATGTTCAAATTGAAGAAATTTTATTATGTTGTATAGAGTAAAGAATATTCAAGATCCTTAGAAGCATCTTGCAACAATACTCATATTGTTTGTATAAGTTCGAAACGACCTACGGAGAATTCTCGGTTTAACGGATTTCCGATTTAACACATTCTCTAAATAACAAACAATAAAATACTTGTGAATAATACACATATCAAATATATTCTCTCTAATGTCGTTCTCGATTTGTAAATCTGGCGTAACCTCCTTTTCAATCGAAATTCACTTTTATCGCAATTTGCATTTTTGATTGAATCTTTTTACATTTTCGAGCGAAGTCACTCTGGATATTTTGCCAGAGTAGCAAGAGTAGAATTATTAGCTAGCAGCTATTGACTGTATGACTAATAAATAAAGTGTGAATTAATTCTAAATATGTATTTATTTAGAGTAAAAGACCTTTGGTCTCTTGAGAGTAATATAAATTACTCTAAATATGTTCGATTGGGCAACAAAATTTGACAGATCGAGAATAAATCTAGATTGAATCCAGATTTAACAATCAAGAACGCCATGAGTAAAACTAGAGCGATAAAAACTATTCCATCATGGGAATTAGAAGCTCTACTGAAACTAGTACTACTAAAACTAGTACTGTAAACTTACTTAGTTATAAAAAGTAAAGAGACCAAAGGATCATTAAATCGTTATATAGAATGTTTTTTTTCTGTAATTAGTTTAAATGTATATAGTCACTAACAAGCTTAACAATACTCCAATCTCGTAAAAATCGCAATAGAAATAGTATCTATATGACTGAATCTATATATAGCGGCTACGCGCGAATTTGACAGATCGCGTGTAAATCTGTCATGAATCCAGATTTATTAATCAAAAACGCCATTAGTGAGAAAGTTTCGAATTATTTAAATTAATACTAGAGAAAAATTGAAACTGATAAGTATGAGAATTGATCATCATGTCACACTCAATTAATTTATTATAAACTATTTTTTAATTGTTTATACATATTTATTATTAACGAATTAATAATTTATTATTTTTTTAGGATCTGCCAAATGCTATGAATGCGGCTGAAATTACTGATAAACTTGGTCTACATTCGCTAAGAAATCGCAACTGGTATATTCAAGCGACGTGTGCAACTAGCGGCGATGGTCTCTACGAAGGTCTGGACTGGTTATCCAATCAACTTAAGAACGCCAACCGTTAAGAAAAATGAACTTTTGATTTTAAATATAAAGTAAATTTAATGAAATTTTCAATAAAATGAAACAACAAATAAACCACAAACACAAAAGTACATTTAAATTCAATTTCGGTTTTGAGAGAATTAAGAGAAAAAAAATACAAAAACAACATATGAAAATCGTCGCTCTAAAAACAACAACAACAAAATTTCAAATAAATTATAATATAAATTTATTAAAATCATAAATAATAATACCGCTGATACAAGAAAAGGAAATTTTTAAACTTATATATAATATATATTGTATGTTAAAGTAAAAAAGGTAAAAATGCTATAATTATCGATCCAAGTTTTTCTAAGTATATATATATTTTATCTCTTTATTTTAATATTTGTAATTTCTACATAAAAATATATTTTTACTTTTTCGTTTATAAGAACAAGACAACAACAACAACAAACCTAAATATGTAAACAACGAGAGATATAAACAAAATTCGAATTTTGATAACAGACAGTAAATAAATATATATTCTAACAACAAAAAAAAACAAAAATAGCCTTAATAAGCGGACATTATGGATTATTATATATAGTAAAGTATATGTATCTTAATGCTAAATTAGTAAGGAAGGTTAATTTCTTTTAAAATACATTTAATTAAATATTCGATGTTGTCTTAACTACAGTACTACATTATTTGCTATATTTCATTCAATATATTTTATCTTAATTTGCTGTTCGCCTGGGTAATTGTACTTTTTGTGCATAAACATTTAAAAACATAAAAGAACTTATAATTAATTTAATGGTTTTAATTTGAATTATTTAACTTCATACGTGTTTAAGCAGTTTATATATAAAAAGAAATTCCTCTTATATAAAATAAAGTAAAATATAAAAGTAAAAAACTCATTTAATATTAATTTCAATATATAAAACAAAAAGGCACCGCAATTTATAGCATATGATGATGTAATATATTTAAAAAAAATCATGTAAAAAAAGAAAATTGCATAAAATTAATAAAAAATTGCGTAAAAAATTGAAAAATTTACGTAAGATTATTTGCTTTCTTAAGATGTCAATATCAGTCCAATAAATACATAATATACAGTGCTTCATCGCATACTTGAAAACTGACTAACATAACCGCTGAAAAAACTGATTTACATGAACGCTGAATCACGTGAAAACTGACTTGCATGAACGCTGAATTACAAGAAGCTTAGCTTACATAGTCGCTGAATTACGTAGAGATTGACTAATATGAACGCTAAATTACGTTAAGACTAGTTTACATGAACGCTGAATTACGAAAAGACTGACTTACATGAACGCTAAATTACGTGAAGACTAGTTTACATGAACGCTGAACTACGAAAAGACTGACTTACATACATGAACGTTGGATTACGTAAAATCTGACTTACATGAACGCTGAATTCCGTGCGGAACCTGAATTACAAGAAGCCTAGCTTACATAGTCGCTGAATTACGTTGAGACTGACTAGCATGAACGCTAAATTACGTGAAGACTATTTACATGAACGCTGAATTACGAAAAGACTGACTACATGAACGCTTTCTAGCTTACATTAACGCTGAATTCCGTGCGGACTAGCTGACATGAACGCTGAATTACATAAAAACCAAATTACATGAACACTGGATTACGTGAAGACTAGCTTATGTGAACGCTGAATTACGTAAAAACTGACTACATGAACGCTGAATGACGTGAAGTCTAGCTTACAAGAACGCTGAATTACGTGATGATTTTTTTGTTAAACATTCACAGCTCTAAAAAGAGAACAATCCTTTAAACCGTGAACAAAATTGTTGACCAAAATTAGTTCAAGTTTTCGAGTAAGCACTGTACGTAATATTTTAGTTTTATAATAAAATTCATGTGAAAGAATTCATATTGCTCTCATTATTCAGACTGAATGATGAAGTGGCTTCTTTCTTAGAGCGTAGATTGGGTTGTAGAGATCGCTTTGTATAGCAAAGCTCACCTGAACAACAAAATAATGGTTTTTTTAAAAAAAATTAAAACGATTCTTGAGTGTCAAAAAAATTCATGTGATGGTTATGATGGTAGGCCGACCCAATCAATCGTAGTGGTTAAAAACCAAATTGACTCATATATTTTTTCTTATAAAAAACTTCAACACGATTCTTTTAATAGTAATCATTTTATTAGAAAAGTCGAATTATCTTATATAAGCAGGACTTTATAAAAATAGATAGTTATTTGAGGGAGCTATATATTGGCAATTATAGAAGTTATTAACATAGACCTTTTAGTGATTTGCTGATAAAATTTCATAGCATTTTAAAAAATACTTATTGAAAGTAGGTATATATTTTGTGCCAATAAATGTCAATTACATGGTGACCACTCCTCGTATTCAATAATAGTGCATTTATCTTATCTCTACATCAGTTTTACGTCAGTCTTCACGTAAAAATGAGCATCAATTAAGGAAAGTTTTGGTTACCACTATAGAAGGAAGCATCCGATAAAGAAATCTTGGTTAAAAACTATCATCAATTCAATTCAAGTTTAAAATGATTTTTGTTAATAACATGACAGATTAAATAAGTGGTTAGTATACTTAGCCCATCTATCGATAATCACACGCCAGTTACATCCTGTATTCATCTAATGTGTAATTAGATAATCCTGTGTTCTAATGAAAGCGTTATTTTTGCGTTGAGATCATTTAAAAGACTTCGACGATATGTCAGTTTAAGATCTAAACACTTTTGGACATTCTTTTGGACTGAGCAAGACGATGTACCGAGTCAGAAAGGGAGTATTTCGAATATTAAACAATTTTAATAAAAAAAATTATATTCTTATTTGCAGAAACTTTTGTTTCTTATTTTTAACCCTGCCAGAGTATCTTACGTCATGTACATATATAAAGAACAACAATAAGCGAAACCACCGAGGGCTGGTGAGAGATACTATCATTGAATATGTTAGAAGTAGGTATGCCATTCCTTATTTACATTTTGTTGTTGTTTTAAAAAATTTCCAGTGACTAGCCATCAGTGTTGCCCGGGCATACCTAATGGCGCTCGGGTGTGTTGGAGATGTGGCGTACCACAACAAAGTGTGAAGCAACCGTCAGACAGAAGCTTCCGATATCCCTGAATGAACTGGCAAAGTTCTATAACCACTAAAGTGGATATGGCCCCATGAGGTTAACGGAACTTCAATATGGCAACTGGTCGATTAAAGGTTTAAGTGCAAAATATATTGCGTCAGAAAATAAGCTGGGCTTCAAACCATACTTCTATAAAGTCATCTAAACTAATTATTATATTTCAATGGAATACTTTTTTCAGTGGATTACCCACCGAATTGATCACAGGCACCATTGAGTAAAACTTCATTTAGCAAAGAAGTCTTCTTCTTCTTGTTCTTGCTACTACGCACTTTTACTCTATAATGGCTGAGGGGCTTATCACTACCCCACACTACACTTTAACTAGGCTAAGAAATCATATCATTTATTTGTCTTTTAGTTGATGACGGACCTTAAATCAGCATATCTTCCTGAGAATCCAGAAGTGGATTTGAGGATTGTTAGGGCGGGGTTAAGTAGCATGTCAACTTTAGTGAATAATTTTAGAGCTCTGTCTCTGATATATTTTTTTACTGAGTCAATCCTAAGATCTCTATGTATGCCTGTTGATCTAATGTACCATGGAATCTTAAACAGTTTTCTTAAGGCCAGGTTTTGAGCTATTTGTAATTGCTTTAAGGTGGTATTTGAGGCTTTGCTATATGTAACACATCCGTACAGAAGTGCAGGTCTAATTACTTGCGTATAAAGTAACTTCCTGTTTTTAAAGTTGAAGTGATAATTATTAAATAGCGGCTTTAATAAATGTAGAATCTTAGAGCAGCTATTCCGTTTGTATTTCAAATGTTTAACCCAATTGAACCGTTTATCAAAAGTGACCCCCAGATATTTTATGCTATCCTCCCACCGTATCTCCGTGTCACAAACGCTCACTCTTGGAGGATGCTGTCTTCCTTTTCGAGTTATAAATATAGCCTTGGTTTTGTCATTATTAATTCTAATCTTCCATTTTTGGAAGTATTCCACCATTAGGTCTATATTTCCCTGTAAAGTGTTGCTTACATTAATGGCATCCCGATTCGAGTAGATCAAGCACGTCTGTGCAAAGCGCCATTGACGTGGGACTTAAAGTGGGGATGACATTAAACAATGTGGGAGACAAAGGCGACCCTTGAGGTACACCTGCTACTATTGATCGGGCGGACGAAAGAGTGCTGTTAATTTTAGTACGGAACTACCTTTCTTGCAGAAAGCTACCAATGATTTCAGTCAAACCACTAGGGATCCCAAAACGGGCCAATTTGACTATTAGGCCATCATGCCAGAAAAAGTAAAATATATTACATGAATTGAAAATATTTGGTTTTAAATATGTATGTTTTTATTAAATCAATAAAAACTGTCTTCGAATAGATTGTTATTCGAAGAGAAAATAGTAGCCTGCAACCGAAGAGATCAATTGTGATTATTCTGGTAGTTCTTGGTGTGGTGTAATTAGTCAACAATCTCTCTCTATACGAAATAAATTAAATATTTTTTTTTTAGGAGTTTAAAGCAAATATTGGTGAAAAAAGTGTGATGTGGTGAACAAATTGAAAATTAAATTTATTAGGATTGGAATTTGCTTTTAGGTGCCATGGATGCTGAAACAACTGGAAATAATAGAATTTGTTATGAAAATGTTAATTTTTTTCAAAAATGTTCTTTTCCTTAATATAAACCTCTGCTATAGCAAATTGTCATTTATATTTTATATGTAATGTTTATTTATTTAGCCACTGTATTAAAGAAATTACAGCCGCTGTACAAAATGTTCAATTTCGCTGTCATTCGCTTGTCATGAATTAAGAAGTCAAATTATTTTCACCTCAGTCAAAAATTTTTGTCAATTGTAAATTTTGTTTTACTATTTTTTATCTCAGAAAAAATTACATATTAAAATCATTATTCCTTAAATTTAATTGCAATAAAATGTCTTCAAAGCAAGCTAATAAGAAAAACAAATGGGCACTTAATTTTAATACGAAGTAATAATTATACATTAATTAATGTGTCAAAGCTGTGAAAACTTAACCTAAATTAATATATTTTTAAAATTCTATTAGCAAAAGTGATGATTTACCCTCACCACCAGGATATAATCCGTCAACATTGGTTAATCAAACGGAAATAGTACGTGACCAGCGTTTAGTTATTAAAAAATCATGGGATCTCGCACTAGCACCTCTGAAACAAGTATATAAAAAGAAAAAATGACAAAGCTCTTTTTCACGTTATTAATAATAATAATTTTTTTTTTTTCAACCTACAGATACCTATGAACCTATTTATTATGTATATGTCCGGAAACTCTATATCTATATTTCCAATAATGATGGTTGGAATGATGCTGATTAGACCAATTAAGGCAATGCTATCTACACAAGTAACTTCTAAAATGGCTGATGGGGCACAGGGTAGTGGGCAGAAGTTGGTTTACTTTTTGGGAAACTTGGCAAATGTTGCATTAGCTTTATATAAATGTCATAGTATGGGCTTGTTACCGACACATTCTTCGGATTGGCTAGCTTTTGTAGAGCCGCAAACTCGTCTCGAGTATTATGGTGGAGGTGTTTCGTTTATATGAATTCGAAATTAATAAAGTAAAACAAATAGTAAAAATTACAAAATTCTATTTAAGAAACATTAGCATAATTTTTAAACAGAATAATTTAAATTTAATAAATTGAAGTAGTTTTAATTGCAATTTATTGTACTACTTTTTTAGCCTCTTTTTTTAAATCGTACATTAACTGCTCCGCAGGTGTCCTGAAATTATAAGAAATAATTTTTGACTATTAATACTTATAGATTCAAATTTTATTTGTATTAGTAAAGATAAGTAAATGTTCATTAGTATTTAAGGTATTCTGATGTTATAAAGCATGCGTAGGTTGAACAACTCGAAATGATATAATAATAATAATAGTTAAAAAATGATGAACAGCTATCATATGTTAGCAATTTTGTGATAAAACATTTTTATACTCGAAATCACAATAATTAATGCTAAATGTAAATCTCTGATTATTTTTAAATCAATATTTAAAATTTTATTGCCATTGAACTTTTTTCGATAAAGGTAATATACGTTTAAAAAGGTTTAAATTTTAAGAGGAGTATATATATCCAAATTAGGCACTTCATTTAATCCAAATTTTATAAAAACATCTTAATTGTGTACTTATAACTGTAAAACCTACTGTATAAGTACATATTTTGAGTATTATTTTGGTTTTAAATGGCCATTTCATGCACTTGTTGACCAAAAATATTTATTTTTAGCTGACTTTCTCACATTAAAAATTACCTAAAAACCGTTTTTGTTGAGTGTAAGAAAAGGATCGATTTAATTTAAATAATTTTTTAATATATTGATGTCACCTCGTATTTTAACTACTTCAAAACCATTTCTTTACATTTTAAAAACTCACTAAACTGTACGAAAAGTGTTATAAAACCGTTTTAAAACAGTAGAAAAAGTCTTGTATATCGAGGCACTAAAACCACTAGAATTTCAAACTAAAAATATTTCTAAAACTATACCTAATTCTATTTGTATGACAACCAAGCATTTTTTTTTAATTCTGTACGTACAAAAAACTTTTAAAAAAATATGTTGCTGCAGTTTTAATAAGCAATATTTCGTTTTAATTAAAACTTTCACTTAAAACAGTTTTACTTTTATAACTAAAAATGCAGTGTATTCATATGATAGCCCTGTACACCTCGCATTTATGAATATAAAGTAATACTAATGATTAATATTTTATTATTAAGTCCACCCGGCTTTCGATAACACACAGGGGACACCCATGCATTCGCGTTAGTCAAGCTAAAACTAACAGTGGCTAAGGATATCCTTTCTACTATACAAATATTGTGGCGATTCGTAAAATGATCAGTATGGTTTCCGCATATAAAGGCTCAATTTTATATATCAAAAGAACTGCAAATACAAGTTTGAATACAATTTATTAGATTTCTATTTTCGTATATAGTTTTGCATAGAATTCCAGATGGTCATTAATTTTTTTTTAATACAAACTTATGTAGAATGAACAGAGACCTGTTTTAATATTTATCTGATAAGCAACAACAGTAAATATCTTATTTCTGTTAAGCAAGTTGAGTTTCTTATTATGATTATGATTAATATATATACATATATCAATATATTGAGTGTGCATGCTGATAGTAATAAAATTAGAATGAATGTTAGTTTAAAATATTTTTATTGTTGTGATTTATTCGTTAAGTGTAAAATGAATATTGCAAATGAAATGAATTTTTCCACAACTGCCAACCGTCTAGTAAGGGTTTCATTTGATTGACTGTTATGATTTTGGACGAATCAGGTGGAAATTATTTTCATATTTTATTAATTCATTTATAAATTATAAATGAATTATATGAATTAAATTAGACTATAATTTACACATTTTGGGTCTTTTAAAGTATTTTATCTCATCTCTGCCTATAACACATATTTCGTTTGGAAAATACTAGGCTATATTATGTTCTCACTGACGTGACTTTAATGACAGTAATCATAATCTCAGTAATCTCGCCAAGAAATTCAATGTAAAGCACATGATGTTAATGAGTTGTATTTCATATTCTTAACAATGCTTAAAATAAACGGTTTCTCCATAAAATTACTTTTTCTTGTGATCATTGGCAATTTCCTTGATCCTTTCAATAAATTTTGAAGGTTGGTCTACCCGTGGTACCTAAAAGAAATTAAAAAAATTTTTTTTCTTACTTATATTTAAGAAAATATTTATAGAAAAGCTTACGTCATAGTTCTGGCTTATGTAGACACCGGTATAGATTCCAGCACTAAAAGTTATCTGCGAAATAAAATAAAATAATATTATAAATTAAAAAATTTAAGGACAGTCATTTACAAGAAAAAAAAAACAATACTAACTACTGGTAAAATGAAACCCATTATGGAATACTTTAAAAGACCCAAGTACAAAACGAATAACAAAAATTAACGGAAACTTTAGAATTACATTAAAAACATTTATATTTTCTTCTTAATTTAAACACATACTTATTTAGTTTATATAAACCTACTAAGTTAAAATAAAACCAAATAGAAAACATATTTTTTTTTAATATAAAGTTTAGTTTCGTCGTTAATTAAATACTTTGCAGTCTAATAAAATTTTAAAAGGTGTGTGGGGATATCAAGTGCAGTTCCTCGAAATAAAGAGCTTATTATCCATAGATTAACATTTTAGACAGCTGATACATTTAAATACACCCGTGACAGTGTTCATTAATGAATAATCATAAACGGTAGTTTTGCATGAACTTAACGAACGATTATTGGGGTAGTGCGTCGTTGAATAGTTTTAAGCTGCGTGAGTGGAAGGAATCACTTCATAAGAATTGGTAAGCTGCAGTTCAGGTTCTGTTATATTAAAAGTGATGAAATTAATAGCTTTGACTTTGACAGATTTATTTCGCAATTACTAAGGATATATTTTATTGCTACCAAAAATAGCAGCTAAAAGGAAAGGCACACTTTTTATGTTGAATCCATACCCACTGTAAGTAATGTAAGATTTGTTTAATAAAAAATAGTTAATACATGATTTTTTAACGAACTGAACGAAAGATTCTTTGAGTAGTAGACTATTCGGTGAATAGTTATAAGCTGCGTAAGTTAAAGAATCATTTTATAAGAGGTGAAAAGCTGCAGAAGAGGTTCAGTTGTATTAGAATTGATGAATTTAATAAACTAATTTTTTTTATTTGTGACTTTGGTAGGTGTATTTCGCAACTACTAAGAGTATACCATATATTACTGTAAACGAGCAGCTAAAAGGAAAGTCATACTTTTCAAGTTGAGTCGAGATCCAAGGTAAGTTGTTGTGTAAGTTTTAACAAATGAAAAATAGTTAATACGTCGTTTTCAAACGATTATTGATTAAGTGCGTCGGTGAAAAATTTTAAGTTGTGTAAGTTGAAAGAATTACTTCAATCAAGGCGATAAATTAGTGACGAAATTGAAAACCTTTTTTTATTTGTAAGTTTGGTAGGTGTATTTTCCAACTACTAAGGATTACTTCTATCAAAAATAGACTTACTAAAAGGTAAGTCACACTCTTCAAATCAAGGCCACACCCAAGATAAGTTATGTACGATTTGTCTAATAAAAAATAGTTAATATGTCGTGTGTCCGAACGAACTTACGATCATTGAATCGGTAAATATTTTTAAGCTACGTGAGTTGAAGAAATCACTTCTAAAGAGGTGGTAAGTTGCAGAAAAGGGTCAGCTGTATTAAAAGTGACGAAATTAAAGTGTTTTTTTTATTTGTAAGTTTGGTATGTGTATTTCGCAACTATTAAGGATATGTATTGCTACGATCAAAAATAGCAACTAAAAGGCAAGTCACACTCTTCAAGTGAAGGCACACCCAAATTAAGTTATTAAACAAAATCTGTCTAATAAAAAAGTCTTGTCAGTAAATTTTCGTTGAGATATGATATGTAAGAATTATTTCTAAACCATAGTTCTAACATCGAATTCACACGAAAAATTAACACAAAACTTTATGTAAAAGAAATGTTTTACAAAACTTTAACAATGTAAATATTTTTTTTATAGAGATATACAGATTTTTGTTGAGTATAGAGATTTATGCCAATTTTTCGTGCAAAATAAATCTTAGTTTTAAGCTTAATATATTTTTTGTTGTGCCTAGCAATGCATAAATTGACATTAATAATTATAGTTGGATAGAGCTTACAATCTATGGACAATTATAATTTATAATAATCAACAATTAGCAAAGGTGTTTGAACCGATAGTGTGCATTTAGTAGTCAATAAATTTATCATATATACATATATATGGATGTATGACGCGTTGCATGAGAAAGGTTTGCTAGCACTTTTCAGAGTCAGGATCATTATACTTATAAATCTCATAGTTTTGGATAGTGTGCATTTAGTAGTCAATAAATTTAGCATATATACATATATACGGATGTATGCCGCGTTGCATGAGAAAGGTTTGTTAGCACTTTTCGCGGTCAGGATCATTTTACTTATAAATCTCATAGTTTTGGACAAAATGTTGTATAATAATTGTAGCGAATAATTAAAATTAATCTTATATATACAAGTTACTGAATGAGTTGTTATTTTGAAATTGGTGCTAATAAGCACGTATTAAATTATTTTATTCAAACACTTTACACTTAACTGCACAAGTTCAATTAGACCTAATTATAAAAACAGAAAAATTATTTACATAGAAAACATATAAAATTTGTAAATACTTTACCACAAATTTCAGGACATCGTATACACCAAAGCCGTCTATAGCCACTATAATTTTAATATTATTAAATAAAAACAAAAATTAAAACTTCACCATGAAATTTTTTTAATAGCATGTAAGAATAGCACAAATGTGAAAGCGAGATAGCTACACTTAATACTACCACGAATATACGCGTATAACAAAGAAGAATTATACATTTTTGACATTTTCTCTTTTCACTATTCTTTCATAAATTTTTAATTAATTAGGTAATAAAGAACTTTAACTTCACTAAATAATATAAAATTTATTTTCTTTAATATTTAATTATTTTTTATTCGAATAACTAACGAAAAGATATGAAATTAACAGAATAAAAGATGTTAAAGTTTATTTACTTATCTGTTAAATAATTCACCACTCTAAGATATTATATGTCGCCCCTTAAGAAATTCACACTATGTGCAAAACCGAACTAATCCTAACAATTAAAATATGCAAACTGGCTAAACAACAAATGTGCTAAATAATAAGGTATTTTTAAACATAAAAACATTATGTTACGTCATATTTATTTTTACATATGTACATATATTCGTTTTTAAAATGTTTCTTAACGAAGGCACAAGTATGTAAGACTAGCAGGATTATAATCAAACAAAAAAATGTTTATAAAAATATTAATAACATTTAACATTAACATTTATTAATTATTAGTCATATTGACGTATGAATAATAATAATAGTTGTTCAGATATGTAGTCTTATTTTAACTATTTAACAGAATTGGTATGTAAGCACCGGTCAAAATGACCGGTTTATTGAAAGCCAAAAATGCATTGTTTGTAAACAAAATGCACAATAAAAGCAACAAATAAAAATTCGTAAAATAACAGCTGTAGCAGCATAAAGTTAGAGGCTATGCTTAATTTCCTACTGTTTTGGTAAAAAATAAAAAATCTAGTAGATTTTTAAAATGGGTTAAATCTTTAATGAATAACTTCACAAAAGAAATGTACTTTTGGGAAGTCGATAAATTTGTTGCAACCTATAGGATATATTTTTATTCTGTATTTATAAGATAATATATTTTGTTCTCTTAAAAATGTTCCTACCAATGTTTATATCTATCAACAAGCCGCTGATTCTATCAAAAAACCTACACCGCACAGCTTAATGTGATGCATCGCTGTTTTTATAACAAAAAAATATCGCCTAAATCAGGGCTATCCAAAGTACGGCCCGTGGCTAATGTTTATGCGGTTCGCGACATGTTTTTAGTCTACTGCAATTACTCAAATATTATTTTGGTGTGCTGGTAAAACCACAATACTTTATTTTTATGATAAAAAACTAGATTTAACATTATAACCGTATTTATAATAACTATTAACGTATGTATGTATTTATTTCTGCGGCCCTCCAATCTGTACAGTAATTTGTATTGGCCCGCGATCGCATCTGATCTGGACCGCCTGGCCTAAAGGATCAGCACCTATTTCAACTTCTCTTAACTTAAGAATTTTAAGAAGTAATACCTAATTATAGATATAGTTGTAGGGGATATTAATTCCCTATATTTATAATGTACAAATCTCTTTTATATGGTCAATATACAGTGGTTCTCAGCTCATTTCATCCAATACCAATTTTAAAATTTCCCCAGTATTCCCCCAGTATTTATGCACATCGTAGGGATTAATCGAGGAGTATAAAAAATATAAAGTGCTTGTTGTCTACTCTTCCAAACCATACTTTTTTTGCTGTAGATGAAAGGCATCGAAAGCCACTGTGTGAGACTTGAATCCATTAAAACCACATTTTTAGAAGATTTCCATAGTAATGTGTAAAAACTTGATTCGAGTAAACAAGGAAGAGAGTTGAGAGCATGAAGTTTAATACCTAGTGGCACGGTTTATCTAGAAAGCATGGTCATAAAGAAGATAGACAGAGAATTAATCCTAACCATGCTTTTAAAATGCTACTTTTAAATAGAAACCCATTATTTGTGATAATATATTTTGCATTACAAATCATGATAGCACTCATTTCCTAATTGCTTTAGAGACGTTATCAACTGCGGTTTTTGGTATAGATTGAACTTTCTGCAATTTCAAGAACCTGTTTAGTCACTGTCATACTCAATCCGCATATATCTCATTGAAAAACTTTACATCGACCAAATCTATAGGTGACCAAAATTACTTCCTAGGCTACGTCTACTATTATTTATCTAAACTTTGATCATGATTTCTTTTTGATTGTGAATAAAAACTTATTATTCGAAATCTTCTGTTGTGTTCTGTAATTTTCTTCTTTATACTATTTCGTGAATCATCAACTAATTTCCTGCTTGTTAATAGAAAAGTAGTCCACAACATTTATTGTGGTTTACTTCCTCGAATCTTTGTTAGTAGACATTTATTCAAAGGCATTTTTAATCTATGGCAGATTATTTAATCCCCTTGAATGTCAAATGTCAACTTGCAAATGCTATTACTCTTTCAGCGTTGTTGATCAGTTAAGATCTGATGTTGTTTTTTCATTGGTCGTGTTTGAAGACAAAACTTTCGACTAAAGTTCATGAAGATGAAAAGGGGCGTCTTTTTTTTTGCGATCCTTGATGGTATTACCTTATCTGAACAGGCTTAATAAGAATATGGTATGTTGGCAAAGTCGGACACAAATCTTCGATATTTTGACATTATGCCTAGGAGTTGTCCTATCTGAGGTATGCTACTAATAGATTCAATACGCGAATGACTGTTACATTGTCAATACGTTATTTCTTGAGGTTTATGGTTTTGCGATTTGCAGTATTACTCATAGCAACTTAATTTGGCGTATCAGCGTAGGACCATTTCGTTTAAATATGTGAACTTGTTGTGTTTTAAATGGGTTCAAATTACAAGCACGTTGCGTCCTGTAACCGTATAATGATTGCTGACTAAACTACTTGACGTTTCCGTTTCTAATATTACTTGAAAGAAATGATTAATGAATTGGCACTTGCTGCGATTAAGGTTCTGTTTAAATGCAAGTGCATTGCACTATCCCATCACTGTCTAAAATAATCAATAGTAATAATATCTATAGATCTACACTCTTGGCAGTATAAGTATTCATTGTCGCTACATTAGTTTTATTTGTCTTTATTATGGGGTTCCAGTTTTGGATGAATTTGCCTTATTTTGTCTTGTTCATCGTGATGTACGGATATTCACTGAGAGTATGTATGTTCTTTTCTATGGATTATATTTGTTCGGTTTAAATTTCATCAAACACCTACAGAATTATTATTAATTGTTACTTATATTTATTATGTTACGTTATTAATGTTGTTATAATCTTAAATTGTTTGTATGTTATATATTTACGCTTTAGAAATGGAGTTATTAAATGATGATTGCCTTGAGGAAATTTTCAAACACCTCAATACGGAAGAGCAAATTGCAAACATAGCAGTGTGCACTAGATTTGAAGTTATTTTGAGGGGAATGTGGCGTCGCCGTACAGCATCCATACTTCGGTGTCATATGTTCGATCAGTTAAAAATTGACACAAAAAAATTTGAGAAATACTTATTTGAAGTACAGTTTAATCTTAAAAAAGCTGAATTCATACAATTAAGTGAAAGAAATATAGAAAGTTTAAAGAAGTACTATTTTCCTCAAGTATTAGAATTATCTTGCTGCACCGAGTTTTCGGAAGAACCATCGGATCGGTTGACAAAAACGCTTGCTATTTGTTTCCCACATCTAACAAAGCTTTATATAGAAAGTTCTATTACTGGAAAGTATATTAGTTCATTGAAAAGCTTAACTGATTTAAAATTAAAATGTTCTAACTTGGAACCAAAGTATTGCTCATCAATATTTAAGAATTTGAAACTGAAGAGATTTGAGGCTACCAATGGTTGTTTAAGACTTCGTAAAGCTTTAAGACATTTAAAAAAATGTGTTACTCTAGAAGAAATTGTAATGAATGAGTACTACTTATATGACATTGTTCATGTTTTGCCAACTTTGGTGAACTTAAGAAAAATCACATCATATATAGGATGGGACGCTGATTACATATTGAAGCATTTGGCGTTTTACTTTGGTAAAGAAATGAAAACAATTATTATAAACAACTCTATCTGGCCCAGAATACCTGTTCTTTGCATACTTCCAAACATGTATAATTTGGAGAAGTTAAGTTTATATTACTATGAACTGGAAGAATCTGAGATGAAAGAACTTGCTCAAAAGCTAAGCAATTTACGGGAACTTTACTACAACCGTTGCCGAATAAACACCGAATATGGCCTCTTACATTTTGTGAAATACTGCAAACATTTAGAGGTTTTGAATGTATCCGAAACGACAATAAGTAAAACGTTCATTAACGCCTTGAATAATTTTCTTCGTACTACATATCGTCCAAAGCCTCTGAAAGTATATTGCGCAAGAACGCCCATTAATAAGTACACAATTGAAGTAAGTATTTTTCTGTAAATTTGATTTTCTTACCATTTTTTTCTGTGTTTTTACTGAAAGTGAAAGTGTCTGTTTTCTATCGACCATATAATTTTTTATGTCCAATGCTATATAGTGTATTTGTTCGCTGTGAGATGTATTAGAATAACAATGCCCTACATTTTATCGGATGCGAAAAATCAAGTTTGCCGTCTTGATGTCCCATAGTCAATTGTGAGACAAATTGTGCTCAGCTCAAGAGTTACCCTATATTAACTATTTATTTTTACTACGTATGTAACTAGAACATGTACCTGCCCTCAAACATTTTGATTATCTTCCCCTGTCCCCATATGTATCACCATACACCTGCCTAAGGGTAAAATGCCAGTATAAAGTTAATCTATTTTCTATGGACAAACTCAGTGTTGCTACAAGTATTGACAAAGCATGGAATATATTCTTATAATGTTAAAGAGTCTTGCGCTTTCCTTTTTTTCACATTATTTTTTTAAGATATTCTTTTAGAAATAAAATATCTACAATTAGATTCTTTAAAAACTCATTGCATCATTCTAATTGCTTAGTATATCTTCTTATACATTTATCTAAAAAAAATATTATATTTAATAAGAACAGAGAGATTTGGAGATATTCATTGCTCTAATATAACATATATATAGCACTAATTATTGCTCCAAAAAGTCACTTTTATACTTACATTTTCGTACTTCTTATTAGACTTTAAAGTTGTCTTCGTAGTCTCTGTGATTTAAAGGCTCTTAGTTTTTTTAAAACCATACACTTGATAATTTGAGAGAAATGTAGTTACGATAGATTAAGAAACTATATTCCAAAAGAGTGAAATATCTAAATTACTATTGATTGCAGATTGCATTCTTTGTTCAACCAATAACATAACATCAACCAATAACATATACATGTATAAGATAAGATAATAAAAGCGCAATGATAAAATATATTTTTCATTTAGTAAATCTCTTTTGTAAGCATTTATTACTTATAATCACGTTTCTACTTCTCTTCTGTTCTAAAACCTAGCATGTTTCTGGGGATGAGTTAAAATTTATTTATACTCCTTTCACCCAGTAAATTAAATTCATAGAAACGGTTATATTTATTTTCGAACAACCATGTACCTATTCTATAAAGAAGACTTCCTTAAATGCCGTTCCGAGCTATTACCATCATCCATCCGTAAAATATTGTATTTTCGTCTTTAACGATAATATTTGTTGGGAAGGTGTTTGGCAGCGCTTCTTACAAGTTACATCGAATATCTTACCGATACGTAGTATATTTTGGGTTTAGAATTAAATTGTTTTCAGCGTTTAACATTATAATCTAGCTAGGTTTAAGCTTTTCAAGATTGAAGTAACCCCATTTTTATATTGTACTGAAGAAAACATTAAAATTTGAATTATAGACATTTTTACAATTGTTTGATACATTAGAGGGATTTGGTGATCAATATAATTTTCGTTGCGAAAACCCTCAAAAGCCTCGAGTTCTTTGGGATAGTTATAATAACAAAGATAAGAAACATTTTCTGATTTGTTGTTCTATTTTAAAACCCAATACAGACATAACCGTTATGGATTTTAAGTATATCAAGAATGGTGACCATTCTTCATTTGATCGAATGCTGAAGAAATTTATAACTTGATGAACAATCTGTGAATGACACCGTGCCACAATCCAACTTAGGGCGTAGCAACATATAAACAGTTACTTAACATATATAAACTTAGCATGCGCCTCAACGACAGGTCTAGGACTCACGACGCCATCTATCAGTTTGATGGATTTAAATAAAATTGTGTTTCTTAACTAAGAACCAAATCAGTTTTCAATCTAATCCCAGATTCATGTTATTATCGCTTACTACTTTTTCCATTGCTACCCTAATTATACTTTTGTGGTATTTGATAATCTCTTTCTTCTCTAACTTCAATGTTTCTTTAAAGTCAATGTAACGATATAGATTATAATATTGTAGACACTATAATATTATAATAAGTTGTACTATATATAACCGTACATAACTTTTAAAGCTCTATCAGATGCCATGTTAGATGCTATGTACTGCAGAATTTGTTATTAATATATACATGAGGCCTCTATAGGCACCGACTGCTAACACCACCACTGTGCATAGGGTAACCGAATAACTTTTTTTTAATAACAGACAATTTTTTTTTTAAATATTTCGCCAAAATAAGTTTCAACAGAAATTTTCGAAAAAAAATTATTAAAAAAAAAAATAAGCAAATCTTGATAATCTTTGAATAATATTTAAATTGAGATATTATATACTTTTTTATATATGTATGTGCAATTTCATTTCTGCAGAAAATCGAGGACTTGTCACCAATGTTGCAAATTTCATTTACGTATATTAAGCAAGAACTAACAGAGCCTGCAATGTACTGCGAATGGGAACCAGATGTACAAGAAGATGAACTTACTTAATTGTTAATCAATGGACTCTAACGTCATTTTAAAAAATCATATTTAATATTATTATAACAACAATTTTTATATAGTTGCACAAAACTATTAAGTGAAAATTATAAATTTTATTAAAAACAAAAGTCCTAAAAATATGTGAGGATACAAATTTTATCAAATATGTTTTATAATCCAAAAATATATGTAGTAAAAGAAATTATTTGTTAACGGACCTACCGTTTAGTATATTACAACTAAAAATAAATAAAAAAAATTATATGAATTTGAGTTTTAGCGATCAAAATTTATATACTAATGATATTCATCACTTCATTCGTCACTTATCAGTTTATTGAGATATATTCCCTTGATTTTGTGTAATTGTTGTTGCCAAAAAAATAAGATTTAAACAATTTCCATATTGAGCAAGATTATTATAACATTTCTAAATTTTATTTGTAGTTCTCACAAAATATTCAGAAGAGTTTAAGTTGTGTTTATTATTTTTTCTAGTCTCCTTAAATTTAAAGTAGATCTATTAAACATCATATACTTCCGGTACAACGATGGTCCCGATTATTTCAAATTATATCTTTGTGCTCTGATTTATATTCATGAAGCAATTATAACATTCAAAGTACAACCCCGTATTATCATTAGCAGATTTTGTAGTTGTAGAAGAAACGTGGCCCATCGTGTATATCTTATGACTCATTTAGATCGATCAAGATTAAGATTGACGCACATGATGTTAATGAGGTAATTTTTTATGGTTCTTATATGTAAAAAATAAATGCTCTTTAAGAAAATTACTTTTTACGATGATCGTCAGCATATTCTTTTATTTTGTCAATAATTTTAGATGGTTCATCTACTCGTGGTACCTGAAAAAATTTAGTAAATTAATTATTTGATTTTTTTATTTATACAAAAAAATATAACTTACATCATAGTTTTGGCTAATATATATACCAGTGTAGATGCCAACACTTAACGTTAACTATAAAGAAAAGATTTTTTAATAATTTGAAAGTAAATAATTATATAATTACAAAACTCGACAATCTATATAAATACTCTAGAACAGTGTTTCATAATAGGGAAGCTAGAAAAAAAAATTGATTTGTTACCAGAACGAAATACTAATCTTCAACGTCAGCAGCGATCTAAATCCTGTTCTAGATGACACATGCTAATTAATAGTGATTTATTTTTCACATAATGAACATCAAATACTTAATTAATTAAATTAGAAAATCAGAAATTATTTTCAGTTAGTTGAATATTGGTCAGTATAAAAACTATATAGTAGCCACTATACAATTGCATCGTGGAAAATTAAACCATGGACCTTTTATAAGCTAGAAAACTTGCTTGAAATCAAAGGAAAAAAATTTCTTTTAAATTATGCGAGCAAATATTAAATAAAGTTTTTGAAAACTGGAAATTCAATTATAAAGTGTTTTTGGGGATGTAGTGGGTTCTAAGACGTTTGCAAAATAATATATAGAACACACATAAAATCCATTAGAGGTAGTTAGTTTCTCATGAAACCATTAGGCCATTTTGGAAACAGGTGTGTGACGTATTATTACTAAATCGAAGAGGGTTTTAACATGATTGTAAAATATTATATAGTCGTTCAAGATATGGTTGCTTTATTACACAAATCATCTTCATGTGTAATGCAATTTCATTAAATTGAAAAATTATTTTAAAGTGACCGTAAAGCAATTTATATAAATTTTAAAAAATCACATAAATTGGCTTAAAAAGCGGTCACTTCTTTCTGGAGCCACACACGGTCTTATGAGTTATGTAAACACTCATCTTAACAACCACAAATGAAAAAAAAAAAATAATTGTTTATTGAGATTAAAGTAAAAAGACTACTTATAGCCTTGCCGCAATTTATGAAAAATATACCAAAAAAATTATTTGGATGAGTAAAAATTTTATTTAATGTCGAAATTAATTATTTATCAATATTTGATTTTTTTTTATAAACAGAAAAATGCCTTATCAAAACAACAACAAAATAAATCATATGGAATCGTGACGTCACGCGCCTAAGACTATTATTCCTTACTTTCTCCGTTTATTTTTTTTTTTGTTTTTGACCATTCATGCTTATCTGCAGTTTTTTGATAGATAATTTTTTTACACAGTTGCAAAGAAATTAAAAACTACAGTCAATAGTGATTATAACAAAATTAATATGAATTGAAAACTGTTTCTTGTAATTATTTTAGAAAATATTTCTGGGAAAATTAATTATTTATATAAAAATTTAACAGTAAAACAAAAAGAAAAAACGGAGGCCATATTTAATATATATCTTTAATATTTATATATAAATATAAAGCCATTTTAATGGTTTTATTTTCATTTCACAATTTTGGACTTTTTTGCAAATAACTTTTAAATTAAATTAATTATATAATAATAATTTTAACGTCTATTTAGTTATAACTCGGAATCTAATTTTTACGTTGAACCATTGTATACACAATACCACTAGTTATATTTAATTTTTCTTTAAACATCTTTAGTAAATTCAGAACTTACCAAAAATCTTAGCATGTTGTGCGCAAAAATAAATCCTATTAACACTACTGAATTTACTACGTGATTGTTAAACAAAACTAACAGACAATAAAATATATATTCCTACATTTTCTTTGTTATAATCTAAATGGTGTATTGCACTCAGTGTAAGAAAGAGATAACCAGACTAATATTTAATAAGAATAAACACAAAAGGCAAAGAAAATTTTGACATTTGCCGTTTACTTTCAATATTATTCTTCTTAAATAGTACGAAATATTAATATGAACGTTTATTTGTTGTAAATAATTAACAGCATAGAGAATTAACGTTGGTAGTTTTAAAGATTCAATAAAATATATAAATACATAAATCAAATAAATTAAAAAGTGCGTGTCTTTATTTTTAAGCTTTAACAATGGATCGTATAAAACATTTTTTTTCATATTTGTTTTGTTTCCTTTTACGTCATAAAAAACGAAAACATAATGAAATTGGAATTTGCGATCAAAGTAAGACTTCTATTTAAATTGTTACATTAATCAATTGAAAATAATTACTTGGCGTACTATATTTGTTAAATTTGCAAGGGGTTAGAATTATTAAGAAGCACATTGTTAACATGTAATTATTGCCGGTCCCGCATACAATTTAAGAGCAAATGTAAACAAAAGCAACAAGAAAAAATAATCTAGACTGCAACTGAAAAATTTAAATTCTTTAAGCCATTGTTTTATTAAAAAACTTAAAAAGTTTCAACCCTTATCAAACTATTAAGTTGCTTTTTCAGGCCACCTACAGTTAAAAACCGAAGTTATATGTTAGGAAGATTTTACGTATTGATTAGTCTTGCCAACATAATTATAAATATAAGGTTAATATAATTAAACTAGAATATTAAAGCTATTTGTGTATCAGAGCGATGCAATTGTGATGCGACTCCAAAGCAGTTTAAGTTGTAGTTTTAATTGTGTGGCAGCTGACAGTTATTTTATTTATATTGTGCAGCAAACTCAGTAAAAATAATTTGTTGTGATTAATTGCTTCTCTATACGAGAATTGAATTAATGTAAAGATTGATTTGTGCAAATCAGTTTTCTTTCAGCTTCTCGGTTTTTGTTTCTTAGATGTTTTCTATCTTTTTTTATAGAATTGTTTACCTTGTAAAATAACTTAAATAAACTAATTAATTTGTTGTTAATATAATTTGTATTACTTACTTTCCGCTGTCCTTCTCTCCTAAGTGGAGCATAGTGCCTCAACAATTCCTCTAAATCTTATTCTGTTGTCTGCATCTTTCGTGATTTGGTTCCAGGTACTGTGCGTCTTGAAGGTCCTAGTCCACTGTTCTTTGTCATTTCTTAGTTGCGGCACCATGCTGGCGGCTGTCTTATGGACTCCAGCATAGAGCTTGCTTTGTTATGCATGATGATGTTTTCCTGAGCGTGTGGCCAATCCACTTCCATTTTCTTCTTTTGATTTCAGTGACAGTTTGTGCGTGTTCCATGCGTTCCCAGAGATCAGTATTGGATATGCGTTCCGGCTACCATATTTTCAGTCTTCTTAAGCATTTGTTTATGCTTGGATGCGCGATTGAATAGGAACCGAATTTTTTTATACTTCATTTGTTTATACTGAATAGAAACCGAATTTTTTATATTAATTAAAGTTAATTTTTAAAGGTTATGTGTTATAAAGTTTGCTTTATATATAACTTTAATTAATAATAAAACTTTGTTAAAACTATTAAAACTCAATAAACTAATATATGTATAGCATAATAAATGCTTTTATGCGATAAAAATGTTTATTAAAGATTTCTACTATTTCTGTAGTTAAGTGCGGCCTATGGGGCTGCACTTATTGCTTCGAACTATATCCGAAGCAATGAAAAGAGTCGAAAAAATATATACTAGCTTTTTGAAGATTTCAATACGAATATACACATCAACAAATAAGTAAACATTTAATATTTAAAATTAGTTCAACAAGTTTTTTAAGTAAAATCAACTATCTTATTGTTACAACTTAATGAAAGTCTTCAAAGCGTTTCAAAATCCCTAAATATCTTAAAATATAGAAATTATTTTCCCCCTAATATCTTAAACAATAATATATGTTAGTGTTAAGGTATGAAAACTTCTACTGTGTCCACATGCAAATTTTTTTCTATGCTGGTTGTGAATGTAATAAACTAAGAAATATTAATGCGGATCTCTGAGGGATCGATGATTGGTCTATTATGTTGAAATTTCGGACATGTGTATGTGTTGTCGTGTACATCAACTCTTTTTAGATTCATGATTTGTTGACCATTTTTTTTTGCTCATCTGTTTTTATAAAGTAAAATTGTATAACTTTGATCTTCTTAATGTCTACGTTTATGAATTCTACTCTATTTTACTTTACTCTATTTGAAATATTGCAAAATATTTGACTCGAATAATATAGATGCAATGTAATTGCAACTCTTATACGATATCACAGTCTTATTGTGGAATTGATTATTATTTTTCGTACGTGTTTACAATAAGTAAAAAGTTTTTATTTATAATTATAAAATTTATAAATGTAATAGGTCCATAATATAATTGTATATATAAATATTATATAACTCGTTTTTTAGAAGCAATTAAATTTAAATAAATTGCGTATTAAAAAACGGTAGCCCAATTTAGGTGTGAATCGTGTAACATTCTTTCTCTAAAGATATGGTTCCATAATCTTTCCAAATAAAAGTAGATATTAATGGTTATGACTAAAATTTTTCTAAAATTTTGTACTTTCAATGCGAAATGAGTATCTATTGTTTAAACAATATATAAATAAACAATAAATTTTGAAGAACGCAGTCCTGAAATTTACTTTTGACATATAGTTTATTGATTAATTTTACTCACAATGATCGTAGCTTGCTATGCGCTGATATATTTAATATTGGTTTATAACGTCTCATAGTTACTATGTAAACTGAAGGTATAGATATATTTTTATAAAAACCGCTCCTTTAGTTGTAACATATATTCAATCGTTTTATCATGTCAAATTTAGATATAGCTCCTAAAGAAGTTAATGTTCAACTACAATTTTTTGTATAAGGCGCTCTGGTGGTTTCATTTCTTTCGAATTTCGGTTAGGTTAGGTTATACCGGGGATCCCTAGTGAATTCACTTAGGCCTATTTGCCTATTGTGTTACCGTTTATATAGGAAAAACTCGGTTTAAAACCACATAGAACCTTTGACGAAGTCTAAAATACTATTTAGTGTCAGGTTCTGTAATTGGGCAAGATCCTCAAGAAAGGGGCTCCTAAAGTATTGAGTCGCCGCCGTGCATAAGCTGGGCAAAAAAAGTAGATGAGAGGCACTGTCATCGCCTTCCGCACAGCTGCGATAGATTTGATGGAGAGGGAGACCTAATCTTCTAGCATGGTTCCCTAGTTTTTAGTGACCTGTAAGTAAACCTACTAAAAGACTGATATCTTTACGGGGTAACTCAATGAGGATTTTGAATTTCCTTTTATCGGAACGTGGCCAGATTGAATACAGTTGCCTGCATATCGTTGAGTCTTCTCTTCTTTAATTTCTTTCGACTTCAATAATTAAAAATTTATTTTTGCATTTATAAAAAATTGGAATCGATCGCAACAAATTTGTTTATAATTTAAGAGCTTGATATTTTACTAATCGGATGTTTTTTTTTATAGCAGGCATTTACAAAAGTTATGATTTTCATTTCTGTTAGAGAATTCCCAATTTCTGTATAAAGAGTAATGAATTCTCTGATAGTTAAACCAGCATTTTCATTTTTTTTTTTATTCGGAATTTTTTTCCTAAATTTGGAAAAATTTGGAAAATTTGAAAATTACTTGTAAACTGTAATTTGATTTTTGTTTGCAGACATGAACATTTTAATGTTAAATGATGATTGCCTGGAGGAAATTTTTAAGTGCCTCGGCGCGGAAGAGCAGATTATAAATATTTTGGTTTGCAGAAGATTTAAAAAAATTATAGAAGCGTTGTGGCATCGTAATACATTATCTAGAATTCGATGTAATATGTTCAAAACTTATGCCATAAAAAGAAAAAAATTCGAGGACTATTTGTTTCAAATCCAATACATTATCACAAAAATGGATATAAGAATATTTAATGATGAAAACATTAAGAGCATAAATAAGTTTGTTTTTCCCAATGTGAAAGAATTATCTTGTAGTACTATAGATGAGAATGAACAAATTTCAACATCTCAAGCTTATAATAAGGATGAATTGGCAAAAATGTTTGGAATGAGTTTTCCAAATTTAACAAAACTTAGTATAAGAAGTGATATAACAGGCAAATACATTGATTCTTTACCGTTTTTGGAAGATTTAAATCTAAGCGGTTGCAAATTTTTGGAAGCAAAATATCTTTCTCGAATATTTACTAGCGTTAAATTGAAAAAATTAACTTTTTTATATTTTGGAAAAAAATATTTTGATTTCGAAATAGATAATATTGTACGCTGTACTACTCTAGAAGAAGTTATTATAGATTATTATCATCTAAAATTACTAGTTGATATTTTACCTAATATGGCAAATTTGCGAAAAATTACCTGTTATTCCAGTGAGGATTTTACACTAAGATTGCCTTATGAAATTGAAACGAAATTGAAAAAAATTGCACTGAATCACTGTTTCTCCTATAGCATGATGTTTTATTTACTTAAAAATATGGTCAATTTGGAAAAACTATACGTATATGGTGCTAGTTTCTACGATTATGAAATGGAATGGCTCGCTAAGGATCTGCAAAATTTGAGAGAACTTCATATTGATAATTGCGTATTCCAAACCAAAAATGGTCTATTAAATTTTGTTAAATATTTCAACTTAGAAGTGTTAAGCATATCTGAAACTGAATTAAGTAATAGCTTTATTAAAGAATTGAATGATATCATTAGTGCGAAATGTCCAGAAAAACCACTAAGAGTATACTGCACAAAAACGACCGCATCTGTGGAGTTTATTAAAGTAAGTATCAAATAAAGTAAAAAATTTATTATATATTCTATTCTGATATTTGATTTTCAATCAATTAATTTTTTAAAATGATAAAATCTAAGTTAATTGAAGCGAATCTGTCATGTGTTTCTATATGTCTTAATATTACATGAGTTTTAATTTGACTATCGAAGTTTTATACTAAATGACAGACTGTAGGTACAATTGTAGTCTTAAATATATACCTATGCTCAAATCTGACTATTAATTTTAGTTTTTATAGCAATGTTTCATTACAGAGCATGAAACGATTTATTTCTTAACAATTGTATTTTAACATATAAGATTAACCTTTATTCATAGTGTAATTCGTCTCTGATGAGAAATGCTGACATTTTTATAAGCAAATGTCGAATAAAGGTTTCATTAGCCTTAAAAATGCTTATATGCATATAACAACTAGAAAGTGTGAATAGGTATTAAATACTGCTTCATAATCAATCATCATTAATGCTATTTACCTAGTGCTATCAACACTGTGTGTCTGCACCAGGTTAGAAGATCTTTTTCAAATTCCCTAGACTTTAAGATTTCTTTAAGAAATGTATAGTGGGTATACCTTAGGTATAGAGTATTAAGCACTTCTTATGTGCTTAATACAATATACATAGAGGCTTAACTCTATTTGGTATTGTTAGAGAGTAATAGGTTATGAATAGCTTATTTACCGAACTCAATGTGCAATTGAGACATCTCAAATATGTATAGGTTACACACTTAGCAGTAAGTATTATAAAGAGAATAAATTTTGTTATAAAAATTTTAAATGCTTTTAAAATAAATTATTATAATGAATAATATTGATAATTAAAATTTCTGTATATATATTCTATATTTTCAGAATGTCATGGATTTATCACCTATGATACAATTTTCATTTGAGTCAATTGAAAAACCACTACCATTTAAAGGATATTCCCTTGAGTGGGATCCAAATGATAAATGAGACCAAATTAATTAACAGACAAAGTATTTATTTATACATTAGAATAAAATATCACGTTCACACTAAAATTGCATTCATATAAAACATTATATTCCTGCTAAGATTTGCAAATTAGACACTTTTATTATTAATGTTGTTAAAAAATTTAATTTGATTTGTTATTGCTTTTAAAGCAAAATTTTTAAATACTCGCGATTTTGCACAGAAATTTTATTATTCTATAAGAAACATATGTACTCCTCATTTGTATTGTCATAATTGTGATGCTTAGATTTTTAAAGATAATAACATTTATCACCATATATAAAAATTGATTTCATGTTATAAAATGTTTTTGTTTTCTTTTTTTATTGTTTTTAGACTGAAATAATTTACTTCGATTATTTTAATTTTTAATTTATTTAATATACGTCAATTTGATATACTATCACTGAAATGTTATACGCTTTTAAATTATCTAAATCAATATTAGTAAGTAAATAAAAATAAACAAAAATTCTTGAACCAAATATTATGAAGTAAAAAGTATTTTATACATTTCCTTTTATTTTTAATTTAATAATGTAATTTAATATTTATACATTTTTACTAATAAAAATATTTAAAATATGTTTTGTATTGTTTAAATTTATTAAAAACAGAGTTAAATATTTTTTGGAGTTTATTGAGCTACTGTAATCTACAATAACGTATTAGTAAATATATATATTGGAAAGTATATATATATACTTTCTTTGCGTCTATTTATCCTATTATCATGCAAGTTTCACACATTGTCAATAGATAGTTTCATTACAAATACTTATTTTTAAAAAGTCTTGATCAAGCTGACTGTATATAATATATATATGAACCGCTTGATTACGAATAAGTATTTGAAATGAAACTATCTATTGATAATGTATTGTCAAACCTGCATGATAATAGAACAAATAGACGCACAGTTATTGCATGTGATAGAACAGTATGTTTTTGTTATCTATCTTTTACTGAATCTTTTGGATTAAGGACCCAAGTTTATGGTTTAAAAATTAACGTGAAGACATAAATAGTGAGCATCATCTGGAGCAAATATATGACCACTGCATATTCCACAAATATGCTTGTGTGCGAATTAATCAAATAGTGGAAACTGAAGATCTGTTTTGTCATTTATTTTTCGCATTTGGAATAAAAATTTGGACTACCGAAAAATGTGTGTGTTCCGCACAAAAATTTCTCTCATCGATCGAAGTAGCTATGAATTTTTAATTGAAAATATCATTTTAATTGGAAACTTTTTGCAAAAATGTTTTAAGATGAGGTATTGATATATGATGAATAAGCAAAAAACATTTTAATAATTTTTTGAAATAAAAAGGAAACAAATATTTAAAAATTTTTAAAAAAACCTATTTTGAACCGCAATAACATCTGAACAAATTTAAGTACGAATGAGTATTGTGTAACAAATTAAAGGATATTTAATGGACTATAAATTGGTATACGTCTTGCTTTAATGATATACTTGGCTATTCAGATATATTACACTTGAATATTTTCTTTAAGCGTACTCGTTTCGTCAATTTTTTTGTAATTCGTTAAAATATTTAAAATACGCCTTTCTTACTAATATACGACTTATATCGTTATAAGGATCAAGTTATAAATAACAAAGATCACACAATAATAAGTGGTATATTAAAAAAAAAACATTTTCATGTGCTAATAAAATGTGTTTGACTAAAATGTGTTTAACTACAGAAATAAATATATTTTATTTCATATATTTATAATATATCATATATTTTATATTTTTTTTTTGTTAAAAAAGGTTTTAAAATTGAAAATTCTAAATTGACCTCACCATATCACACACCTGTTAATTGACATATATTCACCATGATGAGTTTTATGTCTGTATTCACCACCTAAACAAGGAACGTTGTCGATATATTAGCATAGAGTGCTATTATGTCATTCACAACTAGTGTTTAAAAGAGAAAAAGAGACCATATGTAATGCAATAAGTAAGACAAGAGACAAATAACATATTTGGCGTTTTCTTTCGACGCTATCCCATTGTAGTCTAAAATTGCGTTGTGAACTATTTGGTTTATTTTAATATTTGGTATCTTAAATTTGGTATCTTAAATTTGAATTTGGTTAAAGATCCTGTTTTTTATAAATTTTATTATATAATTTTTATATAACTCAAAAGGTAATTTACAAAATTAATAACAAAATATGCACAAGTTTTTATTCACAAGTTTTTATTGCCATATTGTATATCCGCATATAAACAAAAATATTAAAATTTTAACAAAAAAGTCAAGCTGTAAACACACAGAGTTTTATATGTATATAAAGTGATACCTGACTCTACTGTAAATATTTTCGGGTTTAAGATTTTTATTTCAGAAAAAGACATACGTAAGGACATATGACAAGTTAAGAAAATTTATTATGAAATTATACAATTTAGTGTTTAATATTACTTTCTTAACTAGTAAGGTTAAGGCAATATTATTTTATTATAAAAAGCAGGTATGTATGTATGTATATGTGTGTGTAAATAAATGCTCACACATTTTACCGGTACTGTGAGTAAAGCAGATGAATTGTTTGTAAACAAAATGAACAGTCAAAACAAGGCATGAAATTTGAGTAATAACAGCTGCAGTGTATCGATATACACACATACATAATAAATATACTGATTATGAATTACAAGCGTATTGTTAATACGTGCTATAAATAAATTTAGATGCACATTTAATATTATAAATCCTTAATTTTATTTATATATGTTTGTTTATATATTTTTTTGACGCTGTAAATTATTTCGGAGTTTGTTTTCTGCTGATTACTTCACCATTTTGTGCTTGTCAACATTGGTTTAATATTTATAACATCTGTTTTTTGAGTTTAAAAATTTAAAATTTTTGGTTTATCATCTTTTTTTTTACTAATTTTAATATTTCCTTTACTAGTGGATCTATGTTAAATAGATTTTATGTACAAAACTCCAGACGACTACAAAAACGTCTATCGTCGATAGTTCTGGTTTGTAGTGGTTCTTCCTACTGACTTCTGCAAGAGTGTTGTACTTATTTACTTATCGAGTGTTAACGATGTTCTTTATCTATTAGTATCCTTTAGACAAGTAGACTTCATGGTATAAATTTCTACTTGTATCTTAAGTTATGCATTTATTCTTGCAATGACTCCTTTGAAACATTAGTGTACATACGAATTGGGATCGAGAGTGTATTTGATGCAAAAGTTTTATTATATTCACTAAATTTATTATAATAAAAGTTTGCAGCAATTTTACTTATATACACATCTGTGTTTATATGAATATACACACAGCCAATAAAGTCTGCGTACACCTTACGAATTTAGATATGTGATAAAGAGACACAACATAAATAAATATTTAAAATTAAAATTTTTACATATATCTATTCTTTGAAATCTAAAATTTAAATAGCAAAAGACAAAAGTTGTATTCGTTTGTTCATTCTTGAGATAACGGGAATAAAGTGTCCCTGCATGTAAATATAGGCCTCATAAAGTCTGCGTATAGTTATAAAAAAGCTGATAGAATTGGTAGAAATATTAAAAATAAGGCTATATTTAATACTTTGTTGAGTCCCCACGCTGTTTTAGAACTTCACTTAATCTGTTTAGCATGGAATTAACCAACTTCTTAGTTTCTTCAACAGTAATTTTCGCCCATTCTGTTTGCATTGTAATCCGCAAAGCCTCTTTACTTGTTATCACATGCTGACGAATTCTTTTTTCCAATAAATCCCAAAGATGCTCAATGGGATTGAGATCAGTTGATTGTGGAGGCGTGTAAAACAGCCTTGAACGTTGTGCAAAAGTCAAAGTTTAATAATTTCCGTTGTGTGTTTTGGGTCATTGTCTTGTTGGAACCAAAATGTCGTGAATAAGCCCAAATTATTTGCACTTTATTTCAAATTTCTTTTTAAAATGTTTATATAGCCCCATTTATTCATTGTCGATTCTATTAATTCCAACTGGCCTACACCATCAGCCACCATGCACCCCATACCATAACTCCACCACCGCCTTGTTTAACTGTGCCAACAAGATTTTTTTCCTCTAGCGCCGCTCCTGATTTCCGCAACACAATTTGACGACTTCTTATACCAAAGATGCAGTACCTGCCTTCGTCTGAAAATATCACTTGTTTCTAGAACTCCGGAAGTTTATTTATCTATTTCTTTGCAAATTCAATACGCGTTTATTTGTTTACAAGTGAAATTAGCACAAATACTTTTTTTAAATGATTGATTTACATATTTCACAATTTTCGAAGAAGAAATACGAGGGTTGTTCTTTATTATATGGATTATTTTTCGCTTTCTGATAAAACTTTTGGACGCCCAGGATGCGGTTTAGATGTTATAATTTCGGTTGAAGTTGTCCACTATGCGCTGGACTGATGAATGCGTTCTTTCAATAGTTTCACCAATTGTTCGGAAACTTTTTCCATCTTTCCATAGTTTAATAATTATTTTTCTTTTGTGCACACTGATTTCTTTTCCCCTTGATTTCATTCTTTAAAATAGTTACTATTTAAAAATTAATTGATCACTGAGCTCGCTAAATGTTCAATTCAAATTCAACAATATTCTGGTTTTTGACCATTTGTTGATAAAGAATTACCTTTTAACTCATTGAATATCTATAGAGCCTCTTTTTGAATTAACATTTGGCTTAAATGGCGTTCTTCTTTGATTCTGATTTTGTCTCCAAATGGATAGAAGGGACACCATATTTACAACTAATGGACTTATATTTTTTGTAACTTGTTTGGTCTGTAAATGTGTGATAGCTTTTCCATCTTTATCTTGTCCGGATCACAATTAAAAATTGTTCTTATAGTAGTTTGAACTAAACTCAGAATTTTACTAATGTCATCAGATTTTTCTCCAAGCTTAAAACATTTTAAAATGTTTACCTATTGTTTCAAGAAAGTTTGTTTTAGCTTTTAACTCATTTTTATACTTTATAAAGGAGCAATTTACCTTCTCACTTTACAAGACAAATGTAAACTCACACCTTTTAACTAAAAACTAAATACATGTAAATTTTCTTTTAAAAAATGTGACATACAAGAAATAAAATCAGAGTCCCGTCTGTACGCATGAATTAAAAAATGATGAAAATCGAAACACTACCGATGCAATTCGAAACTTATTTTTGTTTCGGGGCATTAGTGCATCTAGAAAGTAAATATTCTAATTGGTGTTATTATCAAAAGCTTTCTTTAAATACCCAACATGTTCAAAAACTGAAACCAACTCTTAAGATTTTAACCTTGGATGTTACCTTTAAAAAACCATTTCGTCGTTCAAATGCATTCAATTAGGTCCGAACTCCTTCTTATATGAAATCACTTGTAGCCCACACGAATCAGTCTGTGTAGTTCCTTTTAGAAGTGCTGGACGGTACTTGGTCGGTGAGCTCGATCGGTGGCGTCTTGGAACGTCCCTTCGTTTATAGTCCTACATAGGTAGAAATTGATTAATGATCTTTACTGCCATTGAGCTCTAACGATGTCGGAGTCTTTTATATTCTTATAGTATAATCTGTAGAAACAGGCACTTTATAAATATTTATTATTTTGCAGAAACTTTGTAACTCAACTCATAATTCCTAATCACAATCCTACATATTTGTCAAGATCCCTAAACAATAAAACTTACTAAGCTTCTATCAAACTAAAATGAGGGTTTTCGCAATATTTATAAGACAAGAAAAATTTTTTTAAAAATAAATATATAATAGTTTTAAATAATATTAGAGAGAGAGAGAAAGGTTATAGTACGTTTTCACTGGCTTCGTTAGACCAGTTAACTTACTTTAGATTCAAGTAATTTAAGCAATTTCAAGTAAGTTAACTGGTCTAACGAAGCTAGTGGAAACATACTATTAGAGCAATATACATTAAGACTGAAAAGTTTTCGGAAATTCTCATTTAAAATTCGCGCGCTGTATATTTTTCGATATTTTAAGTTTATGTAGTTTGGCAGCACTGTCCTTAATTACTATGCCAAAAATGAGCTCGATCTGTCAGACAGTTCGTTTACGGCAGCTGTTGAAACCAGTTCACCTCAGTAGTGCGTTGCGAAATGTCTTCGACGGTCGTACGACCGTCCTGGAAGGCTTTGTACCACTCATAAACTTGAGTTTTCGATAAAACTGATTCCCCATAAGCCTTTTGTAGCATTCGCAACGATTCTGCACACGAAATTTCGTTCGAAACACAAAATTTGATGCAAACTCTTTGTTCAATATTTTTTTCCATTGTTTTTTTCGCAACGCCCTACTGAGGTGAACTGGTTTCAACAGCTGCCGTAAACGAACTGTCTGACAGATCGCGCTCATTTTTGGCATAGTAATTAAGGACAGTGCTGCCAAACTACATAAACTTAAAATATCGGAAAATATACAGCGCGCGAATTTTAAATGAGAATTTCCGAAAGCTTTTCGGTCTTAATGTACATACATAGGTATATAATATTTAAACGCAATTTGTAATATGTAATTAATTGGTCACATATAAAAGCATTATATATGTAATTTTTTTTCTATTTGTAGATATGGATATACTAATTTTAAATGACTACTGCCTCGAAGAAATTTTTAAATATATCAGCGTTGAAGAACAAATTTCAAACACTTCAGTTTGTATTAGATTTAAAAATATTATAGAAGGATTGTGGCGCCGAAACACAAAAAAAACTACAATTCGATGCGATAAATTTAGTGATACACAAATTGATTCTTATTTTTCCCAAATACATCATAACTTGGAAGAAGCTGAATTCAATTTATTAAGTGAATCAAATATTGAAACGCTAAAAAAGTTTGTTTATCCCAAAGTGACAGAATTAACATGTAGCACCTCACATAAGAAAAGAGGGGAATCGGATGAAGTGACAATGATGATAACAAAGAGCTTCCCAAATTTAACTAAACTTTGTTTAGAAAGTCGTATAACAGGAAAATATATTGGTTCTCTCACGAATTTAGAGGACTTAGATTTGAGTTGCTGCGAGTACTTGCATACAAGCCATCTTTCATCAGTTTTCTCTAAATCAAAACTAAAAAAATTAACAATCTTATTTTATGGTTACAGTACCACATTGGATTTAAATCTAAGAGAAATGAAAAAATGTACTAAATTAGAAGAATTAACAATGGATGATCATCATTTAATCATGTTTATGGATATTCTACTAAGTTTTATAAATTTAAGAAAACTGTCTTGTTATACTAGAGACTACACTGAATATCTGCTATCAAAGTTAGCGGATTATTTCACAAACAAAATCAAAGCAGTTTATATTAATAATTGTTTTTGGGGCAGAAATACGATTGTGTCTTCACTTCGAGAAATGGTTAACTTGGAGAAACTTTATCTGTTTGATGATGATTTGGAAGATAGTAATATGGAAAATATTGCTCAAGGTAATAGAAAATTACGAGAATTTCACTTTGTTGATTGCAAGTATGAAACCGAATATGGAATTTTGAATTTTGTTAGATGTTGTAATACCCTGGAGGTGTTAAACTTGTATGGGACCCAAATTACTAATAAAGAATTTGTTCAGAGATTGAACGGTATTATAAATGGCAGAATGAATCACAAACCGATAAAAGTATATTTTGGAGGAAAAACTTTATGTAAGAGTATATTTAATGTAAGTAAAGAAATGTATCTGTTACTTTTTTCATTGCATTTGTATTTTAGTAATTTTTTATTGAATGCAGTAATTATCGAAGTTTTATTAAAAATGCGGTGAATGTTAATTTTTTTTTTTTTGACGGTTTTTCTTTCATCGGTTTAGTTATTAAATCTATATAGTATATTGACAATAATTTTGCAAATCTTAAAAAAACTAACATGTATGCTATTGAGCTAGGTATATATATTTATCAAGGTTTTTCTTTTACTGCGATTTGGTGCAATTGCAGAAGATAACTGTTGAACATGAGAATTTGGATGCGACTACTTGAGTCTCTCTCGAAATTTAGGTGTATATTGGCGAATAACTTCAACAGTTGGTAAATTTAGATCTTTGTGTAGATTTTTATTTTTGACATACCACAGGGCGCACGTAGCTTGTCGGAGAATTTTATTTTGTACTCTCTGGGTTTTTTCTATATTTGTGTTACACGCTGAACACCACAGTTCCATAACATAAGTCCAAATTGACTGAGACTGAGTTTAGAGTTGCAATTTAGAAGTCAGTACTTATATTTAAGATTCAATTGACATCTTTTGGCTTCAATATGACTTGTCCACGGAAGCCTTCTATCTAGATGAATTCCCAGATATTTCACAGAATGTGATTGAGCGATAACTACATTAATTTGCAATGATCTTATTTTGTTATTATTCTTGTTGTCAGATGATGTATTTGCATATATTGTCATTATTTCTAAATATCTACAATATTTGGTTGGTTAAAAAATATTTGTAGTAATAATTTCAAAATATGTAGTTGCATTTCACAAAATTTTATAAATAATATGTACTGATTACGGTAGATATTACTGTAGATTACTGATTACTATAGATCCCCAAGTTAAGTGTATTGTGTGCTTTTATAAATAACGCAATAACTCTGCATATGGCAAAAAATCGGTTGAAGACTTAAATTACCGACATATAAAATTGTCAAGACATCAATCACTTAAGTTTAGTTTAGTTGACTTTTGTATCTTGTTGTTCAACATATTTGATCAGAGTTAAAGGTTCAATAATATTCTCTAATAAATGCATTATCTGAAACTAATCAATACAATGCTACTGCAGTTATTATTTGTTGTTGTTGTAAAAGCCCATTGGATGTGTTATTATATTCTATGTAATGTATGGTTAGTAGTACTTACTTATCTGTGTAGATTTATGGTGACTCTAAAACGTATGCCCTAAAACTATTACTTATTATCGTTTCGTATTGTTTGCAATTTTTATTTTCCAATTTTTATGACATATTTGAATTAAAAAAAATTCTTCCAAACTTTAATATAAAAACTTTAATATCAAAGATATTATTTTCTTTTTACAGGATATCCAAGACTTGTCACCTTTGTTTCAATATACATTAGATGAGTTTATTAAGCCTGAAGTTTCCTACAAAGGATTTTGTATTGAAATGGATCCAAATTTGTATTAATGGAATATATATATATATATATATATATATTATATAATAATATTTATTTATTGGGTTATTCGAAAAGTAATTTCGGTTTTTTCTAACAGAGGCTTCTTCACAAATAAGCCGCATAATCATGATATATTATGATAGGTGGTATAGCAAGGCTTGCATGTGAAAATATTTGTTTGATTTCAAAATAATGCGAGAATCCATACAAATTTCTTAACTTGCCAAAAGCTTCTACTGCTTTTTCCACCATATTCTATAAATCTGGTACCACTTGATTATTTTTTATTTCATTCTTTACAAAATTACTTAAGTGGTAAAACTTTTGCATTTAATGAAGAGATAAAAAATTTATCTAAATCAAATAATAAATATTTTATGAGCGTGGAATCATGAAACTATTAAAAAGATGGCAAAAGATATTTGATCAGAATGATTATATATAATTCAATAAAATATTTATTCACTATAAGAAAATCATTTTTCATTTTCATAAAACAAAAAAACGAAGTTACTTTCCGAATAATCTTTAATATGTATACTCATATAAATAATATTGCGGCTGTTATAAAATTAGAAACTTTTCATATAATATATTTTATTCTAATAGCTGTAATTCAAAATCTTTATTTTATTAATATTTTTAAATAAGAATTTTTTTAAAAAACTTTTATATATTTATATAGTTCATATAGTTTTCAGACAAAAATAACTAACTTAAAAAACTGATTAATAACTTATATTTTGTATAATATAGCTTTATGATCTGTTGAAAGATCTTCTGAAATTATATGTATCAATGTAAGAAGATTCCGATAAAGTAATATGTTTTTGTAAATTAAAAACACTCTCAGGAAAACATAAAATACGAGGGCGGTTTAATAAGTCAGTGGCTTTTTGAATTTCCCGCGCAGTTACTTCAAATGCAACAGTACTGCCGTCAGCTGTAATCTACCAACTTTTTAATTTTGAGCAAGCTATGTCGTTCAGTTGGTGTTTGATAGCCGTTCAAAGCAGACAATCTCGTGAATTTTTACGAAAATGGAAAAAAATGAATTTCGTGTGTTGATTAAGCATTACGATCCCAAATCCACGAATTGGGATACGAACTGCTACCCTATGCAGCATATTATCCAAATTTAGCCCCCTGCGACTATTTTCTGTTCCCAAACCTAAGGAAATGGCTGGGCGGTAAGAGATTTTAGTTTTTATCGAAACAAACGCGTATTTTGAGAGCTTTGAGATAACCTATTATTTGGAGGAAATAAGAAAATTAGAAAAAGGATGGACTAAATGTTTATTTGCCGAAAAAATTTGTTTTAATAAGATCAGATTTTCAGATTTTATCAAGATCAGAATCAGATTTTAATAAGATCAAATAAGATCATTGCAAAAAGTCACTGACTTTTCAAACCGCCATCGTATTATACAACCAAGTACAAAACAATGCACAATTTTTTTATTTTTATTTATAATTTTTTATATAGCGAATATTTGTAATAGATATATATTTTTTATATTGTTACAGTTTTTAATGTATATTAAAATGATTAAATTCTATACGTACATTACAACTAAAACATGATTTTGTATGTAATCCCTGTAACCTAAACCAAAAAAAAAAAAAATATTGCTAAAACGTTATGTGTTTTTATATATTAGTTCAACTACAAAAACAAAGTAGATATGTAAATAAAAATAACTAACCACGAGATATATATGTGGCGATATTAGGTGAGAAAACTAAAACGTTCACATTACTTGAGGTGTGTATATTATTAAGAAATTTTAAGACATAGTTTACTGCAGCACCAGGGACAAAATTCAGTCCCTAAAAAGTTGTAGATCCAAAGAATGTTACTTGTGTTTTTGAAAGAGACAGACAGAACAGACAAAATTTTTCAAGGTTTTCAAGGTTTGATTATCGGTTTATTGCATTTCCTAGATTTGTTACTGCTGGAAATATTTAACTTAAAAGCATGCGTTGCAACTCACTGTATGGGTTTAAATACCTATTAACATTCTGTACTTCTTTCTATTGAACCACAAATTTCCAACTTCAAAGCTCGATTTTTTGAAAACTAAGCTATATCGGTATTTGGCGTAATGAAAAAAGTTTTTTAAAATAGCTGGCTTTGCTAAAATTTGTTAAATGCTCATTATTCAAATCATTATGAAGAATAAATATATTTGTGAAATATCGGCACATCAGGTTTTGAAAAATATTGTTTAAAAAAATGCCAATTCATTTAAATAATTAATATAAGTATAGTTTAATACAATTTATAAAACCATTTTTAGGGAAATTTATTGCAAAATATTAAAATTGCTGCTTATATATATAGAGGAATCTCACTTGAGTATCAAAAGAAACTATTGCCTAATATAGAAAGGTGCTTGAGTACCAAATTTCCCATGTTACTGATAATTTGATTTCTTATTGCGACATACTGGAATTTCTGATTATGATTTATTTTCTTTAAATCACTTATGTTTATAGTTTTAACATTTTCCAATTAAAGGTTCTTTAGTAGGTTTCGTTACCTTGTCCATATTTAAATTTTCTGTATTAAAAATACTTTTTCAGTTGGAATTTCGATAAACTTGGTTCCAGTCATAATTAATGATATTTCAGAAGAAACTCGAAACAAAACATACGATCCTCATGAGAAAAATTTAATTGTTGTATTATATTTGATACTAATTGTTTTGTTTGTTAAATTACTTGTTGCGATATTCATCAACGAAATCTTTTACTTTACGATAGTAGACCACCGGGCTTTCTAACTGTGGAACCTAAGAAAAGTTGTTGGTTAGTTTTTGAATATTTTTTTCACGGATGAATACCTCATAATTTTGATTGATATAAAAGCCAGCAAAGACACCAGCACCAAATGTTATCTGTCAATGAAAATAATATTTAAAGTATTTAACAAAATTGTAAAACGCATTGACACTTACCAATGGTACAAGGAAGAAAACCATGTTGGAAAAGTCTTAAGAGAAGACTTAAAAATATAATTATTGCAATTTGTACTACATCTACTTTTGAACGATAAATTTTGTGTTTTCAAATATATTAAATAATTTTCTTACTTTTTGACTAATATATATAATTCTATATAGTTTTTAGCACTGACCTACTGTGTTTAATAACAGATTTGAATTTTCTTGTATTCCTAATGAAATATAAAATAAATTGTTAATGGTTTGAAAAAATTGTAAAAGATTAAGGATTACTAAAATCTTTCTATTCATATATGGAAGAATTAAATATAAGATTGGATAGGTTCGATGATATACAGATATCTAGGCGATGTGGGTATACTGCTGAGTGATTATTGACTAGGAAACCATTTTAGGTTATTAAATATTTCCTTCAATGAATTTTGTGGCAACTGAGAGAAAGGCGAAGAATATACTTTGTCATTATATAAAGAACTTACTTTTTAAATGATTTTAGTTTTGCTGCAGCACCTTTCCATAAAAAGTAACTTAACCTTTGTTAAAGGTTAGGAATCATTCTATATTTTTCTTGTACGGTAGGGCAACGGATCAATATGCCTATGCCATAATGACTTTATCTAACTTTAGATTAAGAATAGTTTTATTATTATAAACTGATGATAATGAATGGTTTATGGCAGTTGGAATTAACCACACCTTTACTTTATGTATATTGTATGTGGATATTACAAAAGTTGAACTGTTTGTTGAAGTCGGATTTCAAATTAATGGTTTTTTGTTGATTATTCCGCCGATATTAACATTCTTGTTTTTTGTTGACAGGTCCCACTTTTTTTTTTCAGAAAATTGACATTAATTGGAATTTTTTGTTTTTCACGCATTTGTTTTTGTAATTAGTAAAATAAAGGTTCTCACAATTTTTGAAGAATCATATTATTTCTAAAACAAATTTATTTAGGATCAAGTTATTTGTGTCTTATGGGAATGCTACTATATTCACCATTATAAAACGTCAAATTTATTAAAATATTGTATTGAGACGTATGTTAACAGTATTATCAAAAACAGAACCCTTAATATTTTTGATTCTGTGGATAATTCAGAACTGCAATCTCTTAAAACAAATACAATATATGTATATTCCATTAGGAAGATATGATGGGCTTCAAATTATAGTTTTATAAAATCACTTGAATAACACAATATCATGTTTCAATAGAACATTAGTTAAAACAGATAACCCAAGTGAATATTAATTAAGTGAAAGTGATTAAGAAAGTGATTAAGTGATTAACAAGAAGAAGAAGAAGTGAAAATAAATACTCGTACACATAAGTGTACAGGTTTTAACTTATATTGTTTTCGATTTGTAAATCTGTGGTAATTTTTTCACTAGAGATTAGCTTTTAGTGCAATTTGCCTTTTTAGATTGGTAGATTTCCAGCGAAATGTATAACAGTCGAGACTAATTTATAACATTCTAGGTATTTTGTCAGAGTAGTAAGATGACTCTGAAACTAATAGCTGTTGTATATGACTTGACAGATAATGTGTGATTCGATTCGACTAACACAATCACAAAAATATTGAAATGCTATAAAAATGTTCGATTGTGGTAAAAAATTTGATGGGTCAGAAGTAAATCTAGATGGAATTCAGATTTACCAATCGAGAACGTCATTAATCTATCAATAGATTGTTTCTGTTTTCTACTCTTGGTCTTAATTTCAAAAACACTACGAACTTCTTTGCGTCAAGTCATTTGGTGTCGTTCGTCTTATTGTTGCTATATCGTTCTTCGGGGTTTTTGGTCTGCAGATTTTTAGGATTAACAAAAACGTCACTTAAGGAATGTTTTTATTTTTTTGACAGTGTTCTCAAATAACTATTTTTAATGGGTTTTTAAGTATTATAAAAGTACGCCATATATTTTAAATTAATTTTTTTATATTGAATCGAGTTTAAATATAATTTTAAGTAGAAACTAAAAAAGGCAAACAAAATTTTAAAAATTAAATAAATAGAAAATTAATATAAAAATATTATAAAAAAATTAATAAATAAAACTTTCAAATGAAACATTAAAATTTAAAAACATTGAACAAATATAAAATTAATAAAAAAATTTTATGTATAAAAATTTATTAATTTTAAAATAAATAAAAATTTTATTTTTTACATTATTTTTAAAATTTTAATTATAATTAAAATAAAAGTTCTAAATTTCTATTTTTGTTGTGACGATAGCGTGTAAGAACTGAGCTTATCAATTCTTTAAATTTATTAATATTATAATTTATTTATGTATTAGTTTAACATACTCGTATTGTTAAATAATATTTGAAGTACATTCGGCTTAGGTATTTTAAATTCTTAAAATATTTTAATTTAATATATATTACAATTATAAAATGAATTAATTGGCAGAGATTGTTTTATAAATGGTTACTCTAGATTTTCATAGAAATGTTTTCAATAAAATTAAATTTTCGGCATAATTCTTGGTAGAATAAAGTCCCATGTATCCTTCCAGCGTAATTTTAACACTTCGTGTACGGTTAGCTGATAATTTCCATAACATATTGGCAAAAATTTAATAAATATTATGCCAATAAATATTACCCAAATCAGTATGCAAAAATGATATGCCATTAGAGGCCAAATAGATTTGCTAAAGTATCGCCGTACCAAATAATCTAAGTGTTCAATCACATAACATAGCAATAATATCTTAAACACAAATGCTGGTAAATAATTATGTAAAAATAATGTACGATCGGTCAAGAAGTATGGCAAGTAATGTATTAAATAACCCATAAAGAACGTATTACCAGCTTGTACAAATTTCTCCCAAACATTATTTGGCAAATCAAAACAAAGTCGATGACGACGTAAAATATAAAATATGGCAAGTATTCCATATACAAATAGTGCAATAGTACCCGAGTACCAAATTAAAACATTTCCCAATAAGTGTATTTGAGCATTCGATTTACTATCAACCCAATATGCTATAGTTTTATCTAAGAGCGGCCACTCCAGCGGATCCGAACTATACATGTGACTTTCTACATGTTTAACACTCCAAATCATTTTCGTTTGTAACTCCAAAAATTTTTCCCAAAATGTTAATTTCGTTTTTTTTGTCGGTATCATTTCGGCATTATGTAGTTGACGTTCGCGTTCACGCTGATCTCTAGCTGCAATATAAATTTGAAATAAAAAATTTATGTTATTTATAGTACGATATTTATTAATCTGACAAGCATACTTCTGGTGTAACGATGTTCTTCAACATTCCAAATGGCATCTTTATGCTCCACATTACGGTCAGCAACCACTTCGTGTTGATTAAAACCCCATTCCGGTAATAAGCGACCACTAAAACGTAATGCAGCTCCAGTGCTTACGTGTATTAAACGTATTTCCGATCTGATAGCATGCCAAACAGGACCTTCCTGAAAAAATTTTTTTTAATTAGAAACACAAAAACATCAATAAAAAATATTAAGGGTCTCTGAAGAGATCTATTACATTGGGATGCTCTGTATGAAAATAATTTGTAGAGAGGATCAGAAATTCGTTTTTTAAGAAACTGTGAATCGTCATTTCGAAGGAATAATGATTACCTGTCTTTAAATATACTTTTTCTTTTAACTTTTTCATTTTAATTTCTTCTGTGATGTAGATCAAATTTAGTGATGAATCTTATATAAAGGCAGAACTAGTGTATATGAAGTTTTCTAAGTTTGGATTAAAGCAATATAATTTAAATATATAAAGTATAAATGATTTATGATGATTTAAGAAAGTTTATAGATTATAAGTCTATAGCGGACTGTAGAGGTTCTCAAAATTTAAATTATAATTTCTTGATATCTGTCGGAAAAGATATTTTTGTGTACTTATTGTAGCTAAAAAATTTCGTTAAGATCTGAAAGAATTTAAAATGATAAAACTTATTTCTAGAATATTCCAAGAGTTCCAAATAATCTAAATAAGAATATTGGATCAAATTTTTTGTGACTACCCAGTTTTGTTTACAGTACGAACGACTTTTTTTCCCGGTTTGTAATTAATATCCCCTCAATGAAAAAAAAATCTGCCTTCACTTTTAAGATTGAATCTCTGTTATTTGTTTCAGATAAACCTCTAATATCTAATCTAATAACTTCCATTCTATTCAATTTCCTTTCTATTCTATTATACGCTAGAAAATCGTGATAGTAACATATGTCTTCTGTTTTGTATTGAAAACAAAAAGTGCTTTATTCCTAAATTTCGTCAAAATATAATTAATAAAACATTAACATATATAAAATAAGATCATATCTTGAGATGTGAAAATTATGAAGATCAAAATGAACAAGATTATGTTAATTTGCTCATTAGACCTAGGAAATAAAGAAGCAAATATATGAATTTTTTTACCATTAAATTTTTTTACAATTCAGTTTTAAAGATTTTAAGAGGGATTAATAAAACAAAGCAATTAAATAAAATATTCTGGTAAAATTCAATATTCTGATAACTTTTTCAACTACATACATTATATGTCGATATAGCTTAGATCTTGATTAATCGGGCTTTAAAGTGGTAAGTTTTTTTATAATAAACATTCCGTAATATGATCTAATTATATATAACATTTTTTGCTAGATGTCGTAGCTTGAACACTGTAAAAAGTTTACTACTTTAAAGTCAGAGATCTAAAAAACTAAGTTTTATCAGTATATAGAGTAGTGAAAAAGGTTGCTTAAAATATTGAACTTAATCAATATCTTTTTTCATATTGAAGTGAGATTACCCGATGAAATGGATATCTCTCCATAAGCATATAGAAATTATATATATGTACATACCGTTTCTCTATTTAGAATTTCAACCCGCCACAGTAGCTCTCCTTTCATATTAATTTCATAGTCAATATAACAGGAGACTTCCTGACAAATTGGTGTCAATGGTGCAGCTACATCATGTGAATTAAGTGCTCTGCTTGTAATACCATGCACTAATTGAATAACATCACCATGTCGTATTTCATCTGGGCTGCTATCTACAAGAAGATCTTCTTTTTCTGGTCGTTTAACAATCCACCAATTGTTAACATCTTTAAAGGAATAGCATGTAACTTGCTGCTGATGTGAAGAACCACGTTTGTCTGGATATCGTACCGGATATACATGAGCATGTGAATGTAGCCAACATGTGCGTCCATGTGTATGTCGTAAAGTTATTTGAGAGCCATGTACCACTTTTAATGGTTGGCCACGTGTAATAGAAGCCAATCCTCCATCTAATGAAGCCTGAAAAGCGCTTGTCATAACACTATCATGTGGGCCGGCTTTATGCAATGTGTGTAAATGTATATAAAATATAAATATATATATGCATATTGGTACAAAAACAAATAGGACTATACGACTCAGTGTTTGCAGTATTAGTTGTACATCTGTTAAGTAAAACAACAGGTATAAGCAATATTTTTTTTATATATTTCAACTCAACTTACTTGTGATCGTTGCATCATACAGTAAGTTCCAGAGGTAGCAACACATTAAATAAGCTGCTAATATTCCAGAGAGTACACCAACATATTTCACGCTTGCCGAGCATGCGAAGAATGATGCGGATGTAAAGCCAAAGATTAGCCAACGTGGTCCACCGAAACGACTACGTTGAAATTTTAGCAGAAAATATAGGCCAAGTACGGTGAAAAGTAAAAGTATTGATTCCATTAGGATAAAACGAGACTGTGTTAGTAATGCATTGTCCAATACTATTAAAAGTCCACCCAGTAATGCGGTAACTCGGCTCAATTGTGATTCTAGCAATAGCTTATATATAGCTGGGGCAAGTAAACTACCGCACATTGCCGGTACAAAGCGTAACCAAAATATCGGTACATTTGTGGTATACTCAGAACCAATGCGCGTAAAAGTGAAATTTCCATCATAGCTGGTCAGACCAGCTACAGCAGCTATGAGTTGTTTACCTAATGGCGGATGTTGATCGAAAAAAAATATATTTCTTATGTACAAAGATATATATTTGCCATAATGTAACTCATCGAAACTGTAAGATAAAAATGCATTAAAAAAAATATTCAAAAAATCAATATGATCTTTTTACTTACACTACATTAGCGGGTGTGGAGAGTTTATAGAATCGCGTGAGGAATGCAAAAAAAAACAACGCCCAACTTATCAAGTCTAAGTTTATACTAATGGTAAAACGTTCCGACTGATGGATAGTACGTTTATAAGTATTCTCACTATCTACACCAGAATCAGTTGATATTTCCCGTATAGACTTTGACATTGGCGTAGAATTAAGTAGAGGTGTTGATGGCAATGAACTGCGACCGGATGATGTCGAATTATTGGAGGCATTAGAACTGACGCTGTTTTGAGACAGACATGAAGAGGATCGATGCGAACACTTTGTGGAAGGTGACGGTGTCAATGATTCCCTTATTGCATTAAAGTCTTTAGTTGATGTTGCGTTTAAAAAACAGTTCTTGTCGCGGCAACAAGTTGTGGCTAATAACGCTGTCGCTAGAATTTGTTCATGTTGACGTTGTTGTTGTTGTACGCGAAGCGCATCAAGTTTGTCGCTTAATATGCTGCGTTGAAGTCTATCGTTTGGTGCTGTGTGTGAGTTTGTTGTTGTTGTTGTATAAGATGTTGTAGTTGTAAGTGCTGACTTTCCCATATCGGTCTCATATTCACTTGTTCTCTTAAGCGGACGTTTGCGGACACGTTGAAAACTCATAATTTTTTTTTTTTGTTTTTAATTATGCATAAAAATGTTTTACTTTAACATGAATGCAAAGTAATTTTTATAATTAATATTATTTTATTAAGTAGTTATTAATTATTAATAAAATTATTTAATACAAAAATATTGTATTAAAAAAGTTTTGTAATAAAAACTTTCATAATTTGTTTTTTATTCTTTGCGCAAATCGTATTCAAAACTTTCGAAATATTTTCACCTCAAATTTAAAAACTTAAATTCACTTTTATTTTTTATTTTTTATTTTTTACTGATTAACAATTATCTTAATGTTCCATTGTTTACATTTTCCCAAATTTCTTAATGTTTTGACATATTTTCACACAACTCTTGGCTTGAAGCAATCAAATGTTTTTACATAATTTTTTGCCAACAAATTATACAAAGACCATTAATGCCACGTATCGTCCGATTACACTGATTATATTGAATATTTTGTATTCTTATATACCGCAAGAATTCGAGCTTGTGCTAAAGTGGCTTTTTTCCACTTATCTGAAAAAAGAAAGTTTTTTCTTCTATGTTTAGTAGTTCTTATCTTTGTTTTGTTCCGCCAACTGCAACTGCTTCTTCAAGATTTTAACAACTAATGACCAATAAGCTCGGAATGCTGTTTCTTACATTTTGGACTTTTTTCTCTTTCTCTGGTTCTCTTAACAGTTCTCAACCTACTTCTTTTGCCCATAATCTCTTGTCATTCGCCGCTATAATACATTTTTACTCTACTAACTTGTTTGTTTACCATTTCCTACATATCAGTAGAGCTGTTGAGCCAAGTAAACAAAGGCAAGCTTAAACTATGGTGGAAATCGCTTCTCAGAGTTTTAATTTGCATAATGTATAGTACAACAGCTGTGGTGAGTTTTAAGTTTCAGTACGAGAAATTTTGAATGAAGAAATGCAAATTACTTGTAAGTTCATAGTGCGCTAACCTGTTACATATGATAAAATATGTAATACTATGCACCATAAACCAACTTTCGATATAGAGTTATTCACAGTCGGTTTAAGCACTACCAGCGCCCTGGGTGAGATTGTTACAGCGGCCGCTAGCTACTTTCGAAATTCATGTAAAAAATGTAAACAAAAAAAAAAAAAATAAAATACAAAAGGAAGAACGCAATTATTATAACAATTATTCATATTTACCACAAAAACGGAAATATGTTATTGAGAACAATGCATAATAAAAAATATATGACGTGTTTTTATATACAGAAATAAAAATAAATATGCATATGTAGCGCTGGCTCTGGACCCGTCTCATTGGTTCTTATAAAAATATTAAGTACATAAATAACATACAGCAAGTGAATTTGTTAATAAAACTTTCACAGCATATTACGAAACTTCCAGAAAACTGTGCGAACACAAAAGCCAAGTACGGCTATGGGTCAATTGGTTAAGGTGCGCTGACTCTGAGCTTCAAATTTGGCAGGACACGAGTTCGATTCCTGGTACTTGCAGTCTCAAAATATTATTTACAAACAAATAAATACAAGAATTATTTTCAAGGCCACTGATGATGGGTTTTTGGCAATACTCGAAACACCTGTATGGTCAGCCAAAAATTCATTTAATTAAAATAATATAAAAATGAATTTTTGCTGTTGTAGTTCACTACATTTCGGAAAAAAAATAATTATAAATATATTTTATATACGAGTATATAAAAATATTTTTTATTCTTGTTTTTTCAAAATAGTCTACTTTCGAGTTAATACAGCGACGGAATCGATCAATCAATTTTTTTAAACAGTTTTATAATCATTAACGGAAAGTATCTAAAGTGTGTTCATTGCAGGTTTTTAGATTATCAGGATGGATTTCAAAAGATCACCTTGCATTGCCTAGACATAGCTCGGACGGGAATCACGTGAACATAATGGATGATCGATAAAAATAAAACTTTATTCCTTTGAATTAAATGGAATAAATAATTCTTGTCTTTGTACTCTTTCTAGCCTCACTTACACGTAGAATTTTTACTTCGTATTGGAAAGAGCACATTTGTAATGACATATGCTAATGACATATAATATGCTTGACGATTTGCTTAAGGAAATTTTTAATGGCGTTGAAATGTACTCCAGTATTCTTGTTCGCCGAATAGAATGTGTGACTCGAAACACGTACAGACTCTCTCTTTATCTAAATACTCGATAAAATTTTAATAGACTATAACTCTTAGTATCCCAGTTTTTTTCTTATCTGTAAGTCTCGTACAAAGCAATTTGCTTAAATTTTGTCAGCAAGTAAAGTATACACCATTCTTCTATCATAGTTCACTCATAGATGTCGCAGTGACAAAATTTTTTCTGAAATCAATCTCATCATATCTGCGAGAGACTTTATATCATATATTGATATACTCTTTTGGCAGTTATAAATATTTATTTAAGAAAACTATAAATAAATTTTACTTCTTTGGCCTTACTTTTGCCAAACTCTCTCGTTAATACTTCGAAATTTATCTTTTTGACAATTTCTGTTGATAAAATTGCTGGAGATGGAGATAATCCTTCTTTACTACCAACAGTTACAGATGTTGTAGTAAATATTCGCAGTGATAACTATAAATTTGAATATATTTCTTGTGTTATAGTTCTTAGAAAATTTAAAACATATATAGGAGTAAGATCATTGTCATTAATGATATATATAAGTTATACAATATATACATAAAAATTTAAACCATAGGTATATCTTTTTGGCATATCATATTTCAATGCAAAGCCACAACGCTTGTCGAAAATAAATAAATATTGTTAAAAATGAATAGCAACAATAGCAATTATTGCTATTGTTTTTGTGAGAATGTTGTTGCTAATAAACAGTCTCCCAAAACGATAAAGATAAAATTTGATTATTTATATGAAAAATTTCACATAGATACATTACAGTGATTTGAGCTTCCATTCGGACGGATTACAGCGACTTGCAGATTTTACAAATGAAAGTCGGAACATCTCTTGACTACATTTTATCATGTGAAGAAAATATCCGTATACGTTGAATATGTTGCTGCTGTATTCTTGTGAACCTGACTCCTCTAGTGACTAACTATTTTCTCTGATTAGGCATATGTGAATGTGATTTGCGCACCTATCCTGTACACCAAAGCTGCATTAGGTTCGAGGTGAGGACGTTCGGACTGTATTTCATTTTAAACTGCATAAATACATTTAATACGTGAGGTTGTTGAAAAAAGGTGGATAACTCTGTCTTCTCGAGCAGTATTTGTTGTTTAAAGTAGTTATAATAAAAAATTATATGCTCCGCACTGTAGCAATTCGGGTCATCAGAACAATTTACTAACTAGAAATATTTTAAAAAACATCTGTAACGACTGAGTATCTAAGTTAGAAGTTAGTTCATGTCGACATATTTTCTTGTTAACTACGTTTCGATATGAGGGATGGCTGTGTGGGTCCAGTACATGTTGGATTAATGTTTTTTTTTGCTGTCGTTTTATTATTGAACATAAAAAAATTTGGTAATTTTCTTACTGTCGCTTATATAGAAGTCGCATAAAATATAATGGAATCTAAAACCATCGAATAAAAAGATCTCCTTTCATATTGAGGAACGCTTATGCTTTTAAAAATCAGATGCTGTTAGAAACTGTTAACTATATGGTATAATATACTATTATACTACATTGTGTCTATTTTATAATGAGTATAGAATTCAATTATACTTTTCTAATAATACACAACTGTGTTACACTATTAATTATAGGTAATAAATTCATTAATTTCTACTGACATCTTACTGCTAAATGGTTCCTACATACACAGAATAAATAAAAAATTATTACCAATTAAGCACATGAATTAAAATAATAAATTATTAATGGAAAATCGAAAAAAAAATGTTGTTCCGATAGAATATTTATAAGGGTTTTCGAAAGACATAAGAGATCAATTATGTAGTATTATAATAGGTTCAAAAAACAAATTCAAAAGCATGACAATATATATTTGAATAAATTGTTTGATGGTGACTTTTCTAAGCCCAATAAGTCCAATAGTATCACCTGCTTTTCTTCCTCAACAGCGAATTGTAGATGCAAATTCGGTCTATTAAATTTGTATTATTTAATTTATGAGGCTTCTATACAACAAAGTGGTTTTTGTAACCAGCTATTTACAACTTAATTAAAACTAGTGTCTTGTCGAGCTAATGTCATCTAATTTGTCATCCAAAATTTCAAATAATTTCTGTGATTTCCTGATCAGAAGAACCTTTTTTTATACAAATTTCCAGTGACCGAATTCTATTGTAATAAATGACAACTAATATTAACAGGACATATTTCTGATTATCATGTTAGATAATATTATAGTAAATGCTCATTTCAATTATGTTAAACTTGATACAAATATTGACGTTTTTCCATTGTCTTCCACCATTATGCAGATACTGGTATCCGCTATTTCCGTACAAATCAAATAAATTGATTCATCTTCTGTATGTGTACATATGATCTTGAGATATGAGTTGCTATTCCCCAATTTTATCTGCAAATTTGTATTAAAACTACCTTAAAAAATCCTACAGTTGTCAAACTTTTCTGTCTGTGTGCTGTTTGGTCTATGGAAGATAATTAATTTCCCTCCTACCATTCACATACGTACCTCGTATTTCCATACCTGTGAATAATGTTCTGTAGGAGTTATAGCCTTTCTCACAGGTAGTCGAAATAAATTATAGTCAAAATAAACTTCACTACACAGTTTGAAATTTAAAAAAAAAATTCAAATCTAAAATTATAATTCAAAAAATAATTAAGTGGACCAAAAATGTCATTTGTTGAAGAAGTAATCTATTATTATTCAACCTAACATAATCCATTTCGTGTCTATTTTATTACAAATTAAGGATTATATTTTTAAACTCTATTTTTATATTTTTTTAGATACATATCTGAATATACAGTCAAACTTTCATAACTCAAAATCCAGTTTTGCAAAGAAAAGGTTCGACTTAT